TGGGGGGGGAGGAGAGGGGAGGGGAATAGGAAATTGATGGTCACGGAGGGGCGAGTGTGGAAACTGGGGTGGGTTGCAGAGCAGGTGGGGTTCATAATGGATGCGAGGAGCAGAAGCGGGATCGGAAGAGGTGACTTTTGAGTCGACTCAAAAGTCACTGGGCTGGGTTGCAGAGCAGGTGGGGTTCATAATGGATGCGAGGAGCAGAAGCGGGATCGGAAGAGGTGACTTTTGAGTCGACTCAACAGTCACTGGGCTGGGTTGCAGAGCAGGTGGGGCCCATAATGGATGCGAGGAGCAGAAGCGGGATCGGAAGAGGTGACTTTTGAGTCGACTCAAAAGTCACTGGGCTGGGTTGCAGAGCAGGTGGGGCCCATAATGGATGCGAGGAGCAGAAGCGGGATCGGAAGAGGTGACTTTTGAGTCGACTCAAAAGTCACTGGGCTGGGTTGCAGAGCAGGTGGGGCCCATAATGGATGCGAGGAGCAGAAGCGGGATCGGAAGAGGTGACTTTGAGTGAAGGGAAGGGAGTGGGTGCGAGGAGCAGTGAGAGTGGGAGGAGCAGTGGGAGTGGGAGGAGCAGTGGGAGTGGGAGGAGCAGTGGGAGTGGGAGGAGCAGTGGGAGTGGGAGGAGCAGTGGGAGTGGGAGGAGCAGTGAGAGTGGGAGGAGCAGTGGGAGTGGGAGGAGCAGTGGGAGTGGGAGGAGCAGTACCTGCCAAGCAGTGACTCTGAGTCGTCTGCTCCAAACTGCAGGGAAACGGGAAGAAACAGGCAGCAGCAGCAGCACAAAGGGCACAAAGAGGTCAAAACGCGTTACCATCAAATGCGTTGTGCCCTACGTACGTGAGCAGCAGCATCCCATTGCACCACGTAAGTGCGTATGCCACTGAATTGGGATTGAGATTCTCCACGAGCTCACAAACAGGAACCATGTGACTTTTGAGTCGACTCAAAAGGCATCCCATTGCACCACGTAAGTGCGTATGCCACTGAATGGGGATTGAGATTCTCCACGAGCTCACAAACAGGAACCACGTTTTTCTGAGGATTTTCCTGCACCTGCTTAAATTCTGAGGAACCAGGAACCAGCAGGTCGAGCTGGGAATTACCAGGCTCAGTTGTTACTGAGAAGCTCAAACGCTTAGCTTAACCACTACTAAGAGCAGCACAGCAGTAAGAAAGCAGCAGCATCGCAGGTAGTGAACCATGCACCTGCTTAAATTCGTCTCGGAAAATGAAGGTTCTGAAAGGGGGTGCAGAGGAGGGCGTACCTGTTTGGTGCCGTAGACCTCAGCAGTATCAATGAAGTTGAGCCCAGAGTCCATAGCCGCGTGCATGTCAGTTTGAAATAACCTCAAAAGACATCACATGCTTGGTCAAGAGGGTGGCACCTGATTGCAAGGGGGCCGCACCTGCTTGGTGCCGTAGACCTCCGCAGTATCAATGAAGTTGAGCCCAGAGTCCATAGCCGCGTCAAACGCCTGCTTCGCATCCCTGACATTGCGGTCTGACAGTGGAAAGGTGATTGGCGGGGGCGGGGGGGGGGGGGGGGGGGTTGGAAATATGGCAGCTTCTTCTGAAGTGTCAATCACGCTCAGCGGTATCAATGAAGTTTAGACCAGAGTCCATGGCCACGTCAAACGCCTGCTTTGCAATGCGCACATTGCGGTCTGACAGTGGGAAGTGGACTGGGGGGGGTAGAATCAAGAGAGCTATTCTTTAGGCGTTTACATGTCCGCAGGAGGGAATGCTGTCTTAGGATCGTAAACGCATTAGTCGGCAATAGTCTACTTGCTATCGCCTATCGTGTTCTCCACGATCTCCCGAATCCAATGATATGCGCAGCTCTGCTTGAAGTTGTCTATACACACTTCAGCAATTTTCAGAATCTGATTGGTATCAATGTTGTCCAATGTTATGATTTCCAGAATGAGCACAAGCAGTTTTATAGTCAAGCAAAATGTGATTCGTAACTTCACTTGTTTTCCAAGTAACCGCGTGCGCCTCGTTTCACCCCGAGTCGCAGACGCAACCGAACCGAATTCGGTGAACACTCCTCAAGACCGAATCTGGAACCTTCTCGAACACGCCTCGAGCTCGAACCACAATTTCCCCTCGCCAACTTCAATCTCGATGTTTCTTCTTCTCTCTCCCTCCTTCTAGCACATTTCTTCTCAATTTCTCTCCCGCTTCTCACGCCGTAGCCTCTATTCCACACCGTAGGCCGATTTCCACCGTTTCACACACGCGCTTCCATTTCGCCGTCATTCCGCCGTCGTAGAGACTTTCGCCATAGGTTCTGTGGTTGGGCGAACCAACCCTAACATGCTGAGCAAGCAGAACCTGGTATGCAATCAAGAGAGCTGCAAATCCTCACCGTTCCAATCGAGGTGACTTTTGAGTCGACTCAAAAGTCAAGAGAGCTGCAAATCCTCACCGTTCCAATCGCCATCATTCATTGTCACCCCACGCCCACGCGCGCTCCCATCTCATGTCCTTCCTCTCCCGCAGATCTTATTAGTCACAGTGGCATGCTCGCGACCGTTGCACACTTACCATTCCACTCGCCGTCGTTCCACGGCGGAACTTGTCTCCCCACACCCACGCTCCCACGCCGATGATCGAAACCATCACATCCGTCCTCCCCAACTTCACCCGCGGCACCTATGCTGCTGCTTTCGAGTCAACTTAAAAGGCACACTCACCGTTCCACTCGCCGTCGTTCCAGAAGAACTTGTCGCCCCACGCCCACGCTCCCTAGTCACAATGCCTTGGCTGCGAGAGCACCGCACTCACCGTTCCACTCGCCGTCGTTCCAGAAGAACTTGTCGCCCCACGCCCACGCGCCCACGCCGATGATCGGAACCTCCACGTCCGTCTTCCCCAGCTTCACCCGCGGCACCTCCGCCGCTGCTGCCACGGGAGCGCTGCTGTTTGGCGCAGCGGTTGCGCGAATTCGCAGTGGTTGCGGTGCGGAATGCGACTTGAGTGACGTGGCGGAAGGTAACGGGACACGCTGACCCTGGATGTGGAGGGAGAAGATGATTCAATGGGATGGGTGGAATACCAATTGACAAAGCTGCGGCATCCCACTGACTTTGCCTTGTTCCGACCATCAATGCGACAATCATGTGCTTAGCGACTGCTTTCAAGTTATTAATGAAGCACGCTTTAAGGAGTTCTTTCTCTACGGGCTTGTTCCTGACGGACGCGGAACTTACTGAAACGCTCTTAATGCCGACTGCTGCGGCTTGGCTCGGTTTCAGGGAGAAAGACAAAGACGCCGAGGCAGCGAGGGTTTCCATGGTCGGCAACGACGGAGTTCTTTCAGCCGCTATATCACGCACGCTACTCCGTTAGTGATCGCAAAAAATAGCAGTTGCCGCGACGTAGAAAGTGGAATCTGAAATCCAGGAATGGCTGGATGGCTGGTGAAGAGTGTTGCTTGAAATGGCTGGAATTTGGAAATTGGGGACCTTGAGAATGCCGAATTCGTCACTAGCACCAGTCCGTCGGACCTTGGGATTCACATCACATGCCTTTCAACGACATTGTGCCTGCAAAGAGGGGAAGTACTTCGTGTTCTTCAAACGAGTCTATTGACGTGGAGGATTTTGCACGCGTCCGCGTGTTTAGCATCCAGAAGAGACGGGCTGGCTGAGCTACCGCCACGTGCCAAGATACAAATACTCCAATTATGTGTAAGCATTATGTATTGTACACACTAAAATATATCTTGCATGATTCACAATAAGAGTGCGGCTTTAGCGAGGTCCGCGGTGTTCTGGAATCTTGGCCCCCGCTTCAAGCACTCGAAAAACGCTACAGCGTTTGAAATTCTGGTCACTGTTTCTGACACCCACCCTGAAAAATCCATGGCGGAGAAACAGACTCCTCCATCCTCCTCAGAAACGTGAACCGATGAAATCGTTGCATCACTGATTATGATGCAGAGAGGCCAGTTACCGGCTTTCAGTTAGTCCGATAGAACTTAGGAGCACAACCGGTTTAGTTTTGCGTAACGGCAGAACTAGTGAAGGCCACTCGCAGCGAAATTCGGGTTATTTTCTTCGCGATTCGGATCAGAATCGGCCACTTTGTCGAGGTTCGGTGCGTCTGGCGACACAAACAGATTCGCTCAGCGATAGGCGGGAAGAAGCTTTGAAGCTTGCAGGAGCAATATATGACCGTTTTTACCGCCGGTTAACCACGGATTCGGACTCGTCGCCAGGCTCGTCGTTACATTAATCGCCAGCGACGATGAAGGCGTCGCTGACGACATGTACGATAGCATGAATAACCTCCCTCGGTTGATCAATCATTGCTGAATGTTGGCTCCTGTGCTGGTCGTTCACGAGCCATAAGAGCCTTCACGTAGAACCTTATTCCCTGAGCAATTCGGTTCGTTAGCTTCCTGTTTCTCACCCGGTTTCCGGCGTTTCTTCTCACCTTGATAGCTTCCTCCATAGCCGTTACTTTCATGCGTTCGGTCCTTTCACCCTTCGGATTTCGTGCCATCTTTGACATGAGCTGACACGGAGAATGTCGGTCATTCACTTCAGCAATAGATCTGTACTGAATTTCCCGTTCCAGTGATCCAGCGGATCATTGTGATCTTGCAAACACGGATACGCAGTTCTTCACGTTCTGTTAGAATCTGCTCATGAGAATATTCTTCAGTGCTTCCCTTTCCATATGCTCTCCAAAACTACTTCCTGGATTCAACAGACATGGAGCTCTCGGATCTCCCGTCCTGTTGCACCCCCGGCATGACCCAGCGTTCCCCTCTCCCCGTTTCCATATAACTTTCAAAACAAAATTCGTGATTCAACAGACACGGAGCTCTCGGACCTCACATCCTCACTGGCGGATGGTTCACCGGAGGTTCAGCAGGCAGCCGTGGATGCACTCAAGTCCATCGCCGCTGTGTGAGTATGCGATGGGGTATTCCTCTCCCTGGCTGTTTCTGACGCAGCTTGAGTCGACTCAAAGTACACCGGATGGCCCACCAGAGGTTCAGCAGGCAGCCGTGGATGCACTCAAGTCCATCGCCGCTGTGTGAGTATGCGATGGGGTATTCCTCTCCCTGGCTGTTTCTGACGCAGCTTGAGTCGACTCAAAGTACACCGGATGGCCCACCAGAGGTTCAGCAGGCAGCCGTGGATGCACTCAAGTCCATCGCCGCTGTGTGAGTATGCGGTGGGGTATTCCTCTCCCTGGCTGTTTCTGATGTGGTTAGTCACTCACAATACACCAGATGGCTCGCCGGGGTTGCAGACGCTGTAGATGCGCTCAAGTTTATCGCCGCAATGTGGGTTTGCGTTGGAGAGCCTTTCCTAAGTCATCCTGGATCGAAACACTCACACCTTCCTGGAATTTCCAGGATGTTCCCAGAAATGCATGTATGCTGTCTCCAGGATGCTTTTATGTGTTGTTACCAAATTGCATGTATGCACCATTCAGGATTGTATGCTTCAATCTGTGCCTGACATGTGTCCTATTTGCATGCAGTAACCCCAAGCTCGTTCTGCTCTTCTGTTCCGAGCTTCTCCAATCCGGTCAGGTAAACTGCCGAACCTGGGCCAGAGCACGCATATTAGACCCGGAGAAAGCATACCAACCACCACGACAATTGCCATGTTCTCATCTAATTTGCAATTCTGGCTACTATCGTATCCTTGTGAGCGCATCACATGCAGTGGTTTTTGAGGCGCCTCAAAAACCACCGCATACCAACCACCACGACGATCGCAATGTTCTTATCTGACTTCTAGTTCTGGCTACTGTCTTATCCTTGTGTGCGCATCACATGCGGTGGATCATTTCACAGTGCAGTGCACGTGTAGTAGGTTCCATGCTTCTGGCTGACTATCCTTAGACGCCTCCTTGCACCCGTTGTCTTTCCTTTGCCCACCCTTGTGACGCACATCCCCTTCCTTGGACCCATCGGGCCATCCCGTTTCTTGGCCCCAGCCCCTTCATCACTATAACCATCCTTCCGTCCCCCAAACATTCCCCACCCGCAGAGCACGAGACTGTGGTGGTCGGTGCCTCAGCTGCCGCAGCACCACAAGACCAACCTCTTCTCTGTCATCGCAGCCTCTATCAGCACACTTGAATCCGCCTCCTCTGTGCTTTCTGGCCGACTTCCAGTGTGCGTGCCTGCACACCCCCCCATTTCCCCCCGCAGAGCACGAGCCTGTGGTGGTCGGTGCCTCAGCTGCCGCAGCACCACAAGACCAACCTCTTCTCCGTCATCGCAGCCTCTATCACCTCCCTCACTCGCCAGCAACACTCCGCTGCTGTTGCTGCCGCTGCTGCAGCAGGGGGATACTCAGCAGCAGGAGCAGCAGGGGCAGGAGGAGCACCATGGGGGACGGTAGCAGCGGCGGGTGGGGTGTCAGCAGCGGAAGGTGCAGGAGTGGGGATGGGTTCAGATGGGGGGGGAGGGGTGTCGGATCACACGATGCTGGTGCAGAGCATCAAGTTGGCACTGGCAGAGATGCAGGTGGCAGGCCGATCAGGCACTGGCAGCGCCCAGGTGCGTTGAACCTGGACAGTCGTGAAATGATCTCACGTGCTGGTTCAAATCACAGCGTCAATCTGGAATGGCAGAGATTTAGGTGGCAGGCCGATCAGGCAGGTGCATTGAACCTGGACACATCGGGAGTTAGTTATACCTCATGCTGGTGCAAATCAGAGCGTCAAGCTGGAATTGGCAGAGATGCAATTGGCAGGCCTATCAGGTACAGGTATCGCCGAGGTGCGTTGAACCTAGACAATGCCGGATCACACCATGCTGGTGCAGAGAATCAAACGCATGAAGCTACCCCTTCTCCAGTGTCTCCTTCAGTTCCCCTCGCTTCCATTTTCTCTCGCCATGTCTCTTTCTTCCTCTTGTCTCTCCTAACCTTCTCCCTCCTTTCTGCCCCACCCCCCGCCTTCCCCTTCACGCTTTTTCCCTCCTCATCGTGCAGGACATCGGTTCACCACTGAACGTGGCTGTCGCATCTGTCATTACGGCTGTAGCAGCTGCTTCAACTTCCCTGGTAATCCCAAACCCACATGCTGTAACAGAAGATCAGCTGCTGAGCAGCTTCTTTAGCAGTCTCTCTCTCACCATTCACTACCTCTGTAGCAGCATGTGAGACAACTTAGGTAGCACTGGTATGGCGAGCATGGAGGTCGTTTTTGAGGCGCCTCAAAAACGATTTCAATGCACTCAGGTAGCACTGGTATGGCGAGCATGCAATCAGCGCTGTCAAAGTGGTCTCTGATTGCCATGTGTCTCCACCTCTGCCTGCCACGTGTATGCATCTAACCCTGCCACGTGTATCCATCTTTGCCTGCCACGTGTATCCATCTCTGCCTGCCACGTGTATCCATCACTGCCTGCCACGTGTGCAGGCTCTGGACGAGGTGTTCTGTGTGCCACAGCCACCACTGCATCTCATTGCCGATGCCTTCGGCCAGATGGCAAAGAATAGACGTGAGTGCACCATCATTACTATTTTAATTCCCTTTTTGTCGTGTGATTCGTCCTATTTGTCCACCTGCCACCCACCCTTTTAGGGGAACCGTGCCGATTCTATCGTCCCCTTTGTTCCTTCCGACACCATCCTGTCACACACTCGCATTCCCCTGCATTCGTTTCTCAACCCACCCAGCCCATATCCACCCCCACTCCTCATTTCCGCCCCTTAACTCACATCCAGCTGCTGTGTTCCGCCAGGCTGAGTGGCCTTTTTTAGGCGCCTCAGAACTATGCTCTGAGGAATCGTCTCACAGCTGCTGACAAAACGAATCAAATTCTCTAGCTTCACCTCTCTCCTTAGAAGCTCCACTCCACCCCTCCATCCCATATCCATCCAGCTGCTGTGTTCCGAGCCATGTGGCCGAATGTGTTGAGGAAGATCGTCCCACAGCTGCTTGCAAAAGAAAACACGATGTTTTTCTTCTCCCCCCCCCTTGGAATCCCCTCCATCCCACATCACATCCAGCTGCTGTGTTCCGAGCCATGTGGCCGAATGTGTTGAGGAAGATCGTCCCACAGTTGCTGAGTGTCACTGAGACCACCAAGCACGTCTTTGCTGATGGTGAGAATAAGTTGGTGATGGTGGGATTGAAGTGATGATGGTGATAGGGAAGTGCTGATGGTGAGTGGGAAGTGCATCTGCTCCTCCTCAACCCCATGTCACCCAGCAATCGTCCACTGGTGCCGGGCATTCACCCACGGGCAAGGCATGGGATAGTTTGAATCATCTCCCTCCCTTTATTCCCCCTCCTCGCCCCCATGTCACCTACCTACCACCGTCCAGCAATCGCCCACTGGTGCCGGGCATTCACCCACGGGCAAGGCATGGCTGTGGTGCTGGCGCTGCAGGAGAGACGAAGCAGGGAGGCAAGAGGGGATCAGGAGGGTGGAGCACCGTCAGATGAGCTAAGGAATATACCATGGACGGCTGAAGATTGGGAGGAGTCTGTGTGAGTCTTGAGATGCGCTGATACTCGCATTGGTGTGAGTGAGTGTGAGCAGCACAGCTGGTGTTTGAGTTCTCCTGTCTGAATGCATTTCCGTACTGCGATTTAGAGTGTGAAGTTGTGAAGTTGTGTGAAGTTGTGAAGTTGTGTGAAGTTGTGAAGTTGTGAAGTTGTGAAGTTGTGTGAAGTTGTGAAGTTGTGTGAAGTTGTGAAGTTGTGAAGTTGTGAAGTTGTGAAGTTGTGTGAAGTTGTGAAGTTGTGTGAAGTTGTGTGAAGTTGTGAAGTTGTGTGAAGTTGTGAAGTTGTGTGAAGTTGTGAAGTTGTGTGAAGTTGTGTGAAGTTGTGAAGTTGTGAAGTTGTGTGAAGTTGTGTGAAGTTGTGTGAAGTTGTGAAGTTGTGTGAAGTTGTGAAGTTGTGTGAAGTTGTGAAGTTGTGAAGTTGTGTGAAGTTGTGAAGTTGTGAAGTTGTGTGAAGTTGTGAAGTTGTGTGAAGTTGTGAAGTTGTGAAGTTGTGTGAAGTTGTGAAGTTGTGTGAAGTTGTGAAGTTGTGTGAAGTTGTGTGAAGTTGTGAAGTTGTGTGAAGTTGTGAAGTTGTGTGAAGTTGTGTGAAGTTGTGAAGTTGTGTGAAGTTGTGAAGTTGTGTGAAGTTGTGTGAAGTTGTGAAGTTGTGTGAAGTTGTGATCTCCATCAGCGTTCTTCCATTCCTCTGCATCGCCCTGTCTGTCCCTCCCCTCCCAGTGCTCTCCTCCAGTCCGCGTTCGACCTTTTCTTGCAGCGATGGCTCCTCTCTTCCTCCTCACCTGTAAGTCCCACACCCTGCAGCTTCCCATTATTACCCTGTTAACAGTCGTTTCTGCATGCCATCATGTCGCTCCCAGTGCCCTCCTGCAATCTCCCTTCAACCTTTCCACAGAGCTTTTTGCTCGAACAATCATCGATGCCATGTTCCTCTCCTCTGACACTTGTCCCCTCTCTACCCTCCAGAATCGGCTCGCCACAGCCAAGACTATGGCGGAGATAACGTGTATGGTTCCGGAGGGCTACCTGTGTTGAGGCACTTGGCATTTGGCATTTGGCATAGAAGCCCTGTATGGTTTTGAGACGTCTTGAGTGCCAAAGACCTTGTTCTCATGTATTCCCTTAACACCCGCTCCTCCTGCATCCACTCTCCTCTCCGCCCCCCCACCAGACCCGGCTATCCACAGCCAAGGCCATGGCGGAGACGACGTTTCTGCTGCAGGAGAGCTACCCGTGTTGAGGCATCTTGAGTGCCAAATGCCTTGTTCTCCTGTATCCCCGTTTGTTTTTCCTGCAGGCCCGGCTGTCGACAGCCAAGGCCATGGCGGAGACGACGTTTCTGCTGCAGGAGAGCTACCCGTGTTGAGGCATCTTGAGTGCCAAATGCCTTGTTCTCCTGTATCCCCGTTTGTTTTTTCCTGCAGGCCCGGCTGTCGACAGCCAAGGCCATGGCGGAGATGGCGTTTCTGCTGCAGGAGAGCTATCTGCGCTCCACCGTCAGCGCTCTGCTGCCTGCCCTTCGCTCCCTGTGAGTGTGCATGGTGTAGGAAGAGTTATGCTAATAGTGCGCCAGAGAAGTATCAACTCACAGAGCGTGTTTTTTGAGAATTCTCAAAGAGAAGTATCAACTCACAGAGCGTGTTTTTTGAGAATTCTCAAAGAGAAGTATCAACTCACAGATACACATTACCGACAGTACCAACCAACTCCTATAATTCGATGGATGCCACCTAGAATGTCCTTCAACTCAACCTGAGATTACCTCCTCTTTTCCAAGTGTTCTGCTCAGGTACGGCAAGGAGCCAGAGGAGTAGCACGTACACGTTACAGACGGCCTCGGTACCGTCTGGAGAGCTTTTCTGGGCGGCAGCCCAGATCCAGGCACAGACTCGTGACTTAACAAAAACAGCTCCTTCGTTCCCTGTTCTCAGGTATGGCAAGGAGCCAGAGGAGTATCAGCACGTACACGTTACAGACAGCCTTGCTACCCTCTTGAGAGCTCTCCTGGGCGGTAGCCCCGACCCAGACGGGCCTTCCGAGGCGCAAATCGCCAGCAGCAGCGGTGACAGCAGCAGCAAGACTGGCAGTGGCAGTCGGGGGCCTGAGCATGGGCTATCTGGGGAAGACCAGGCTTTATCTGGGGCAACAAGGGAAGCAGATGCTAGCGCGGCCGGTGCTGCTACTTCTGCTGTAGCTTCTGCTGCAGCTTCTGCTGCAGCTAGTGCAGCAGCTGCAATACTTGGGCGGCCCAAGCAAGGAATCAACCCAAAGGTGCGTATGCAGTGCTAGCAAGTTATGGTAAGGGATGTAAAGGATGGTACGTGACTTTTGAGACGTCTCAAAAGTTGCTAGCAAGGTATGGTAAGGGATGTAAAGGATGGTACACGTGATGAAGGAGGATGAGACTTGACTGCCCTTACTCACTTCCCCACCTGTCGCAGGTGCTGCTCCCTGATAGGCCACTACACCAGCCAGCTGTGTCTGAGCTGGGTCACTCTTAAGAAATCTCAATGATCCCCCCCGTCGTTAGTCCCTATCTCGTATGCTGCTCCCCACGCTGGAGTTCCTCCTCGCCTTGATAGGCCACTGCACCACACCAGCCGGAAGACTTTCACTTACGTCTGACAAATTTCAGAAGAATAAGTTGCTCCCACATCCCCATCCCACCCGAACCAGGTGCTGCTCCCCACGCTGGAGTTCCTCCTCGCCTTGATAGGCCACTACACCAGCCGGCTTAGCTTTAATGCAGCTGATATCCGCATTACCATCACTGTAAGTAAGAAGAACCGTCACAGTGAATCTAGCGTTGTGAGTCACAATCGTCACATTACCATTCAACCTTATAATTGCGAGTAAAGTCCATCACTTCAAGCTCACTACCATCAACATATGCATGGTTCACTGGTCAATCGATGCATCTCACGCATGCTTCCCTCTCATGCCTCTCACTCACAGGGCCTCAACACAGCCATGCGGTGTGCCATGACCATCACAGAGTCCTTCCCTCAACATGCAAGCATTCGCTCTGTAGACTTGACACGTCTAATGCCTTCCATACATTCTCCCACGTGTCTTTCTCTGATCTCATGCCTCTCACTCACAGGGACTCAACACAGCCATGCGGTGCGCAATGACCATCACAGAGGCCTTTCCCCAACATGCAAGTGCCTTTGCCATCCAGGTGAGTGACCACGGCAACTCAACCTCCCTCTTCTGTATTGACTGACAATATCTTAATGGCCAATATCTTGAGATCATTTTCGCCAAGATCAGAGTACGTTTTTGGCCACATTGAAAAGAACACTCACGGATATTAACCACTGGATTCCTTACCATCTACCTTTGCCCTCTCCTGTTGTCCGCTTCGTGGCCTCTCTCCTGCCCTACCACCACAGAGGGCGGCTCACAGAGGAGTAGATGTGCGGATCAGGCAGGGTGCGCTGGTTTTACTGCGCCGCATTGTGACCAGGTGTGTGTGTATCGGGTTGTCTCGTGTCGTGTCTCGTGTCGTGTCTCGTGTCGTGTCTCGTGTCGTGTCTCGTGTCGTGTCTCGTGTCACGTATCCAAAATGAAACATGCATGTGCGCATTTTGAATGCTACTGAACTAGTCTTAGAAAGACTTGTCCAGGTATTCAGTATCTTGAATGCTGCTTAACAAGTCTTAACAAGTGTACTGCACTATGACCTTGAATACTGTGCAGCATGTCTCAACAAGTCTTAACAAGTGTGGGCGGGCAGCGAGGAGCAGTTCTGCCAGGGCGCGAAGGCATGTGCGCAAATTTTAAGCTGCTTAACAAGTTTCTTTCTAACGAATCCTGCATTGCTTGCGTGCCATGCGCTACTCTACACTGTGCAGCATGCCACAAGTGTGGGCGGGCAATGAGGAGCAGTTCTGCCAGGGAGCAATCTACATCGTCCAATCAGAAGAGACAATGGAGAGCGCGCAGGACACGTCAGCACAGGATATTTTCGCTCTGGGGTGGGTTCAGGGACGTTCATCCCTGATCCACCCGTCCTTAGGCCTCCCCTCTAGCGATCCCTCCAGCCCTCCAGGGGTTTCTGCTAGCCCTAGAGGCGGAGAGTGGGGGGGATTGAGGGAAACAGGAGAAGGAGCAGGAGGAGCAGCCGTGGGGTCGAGCAGTGGTGGAGGAGTGATGGGCGGAGGGGCAGGGGGAGGAGGAGGAGGATCAACGGTGGGGGGAGGAGGGTCAGGAGCAGCAGCAGGAGGGGTGTCGCCGATAGAAGCGGTGCTGCTGCGGCCAGTGGGAGAGGTGGAGGTGGAGTGGAGCTCTGCGTGTGCTTCCCTGCTGGGCGCTGCCGTGCTTGTGCCCCGGAATACACCGTGTGACGAGACTCGCAAGGAAATCGTGCAGGTAACGTTTTGGGTGCCTCATTTGGAGCTCTTCGTGTGCCTCCCTGCTGGGCGCGGCTGTGCTTGTGGCCCGGAATACACCATGTGACGAGACTCGCAAGGAGATTGTGCAGGTAATGTCTGAGGCGGCTCAGAAGGGAATCTGCCTGTGAATCTGCCTGTGAATCTGCCTGTGCATCCCTGCGGGCTGGGAGCAGGGGCGTTGCAGTTGCGTCTAACCTTCCTTTTGCTTCGTGCTCCCCTTGTTCCCCATTCCCCCCCAACTCCTGACCTTTCTTTTCCTTCCTGCCCCATGTTCTCCATTCCCTCCTCAGCTCATCCTGGCAATGGCAGCCACCAATCAGCTGCTGCCAGCTCACCCAGTCCCCGCCTACCACCTCCTCTTCTTCCTCATCTCCCAAGCCGGTCGCTCCTTCCGCCCCTCCCCCTCCTCCTCTCACCCCTCCTCCTCCACTCACTCCTCGCTCACTTCAGCCACTGACGCCACCAGCACTAGTGCCAGCAGCAGTGGTGGTAGCGGGGCGGCGAGGGAGGCAAGGAGGAGGGCGGCAGGAGGGGGAGGGGAGGAGGATCCGCTGTATCATGTGTGCAGCAAGGGACTGAGCATCCTTGCCAATACCGTGCATACCATGGATGTGAGTGACCCAGTGATAAAGCCCCTTTCAAAGTGTAGCATCATGGCATTCGTTTGAAGATCCGCTGTATCACGTGTGCAGCAAGGGACTGAGCATCCTGGCTAATACCGTGCATACCATGGATGTGAGTGACCCAGTGATAAACCCCCTTTCAAAGTGTAGCATCATGGCATTCGTTTGAAGATCCGCTGTATCACGTGTGCGCACCATGGATGTGAGTCACACCCCTCTTAAGGAGTGGTTTGGAGGCCCTTTGAAGATAGCTCCTGGGGTGTATCGCGTGTGCAGCAAGGGACTGCGTTTCCTTGCCAATACAGTGCATACCATGGATGTGAGTCACCCATGCATGTGAGTCAACCATGGATGTGAGTCACCTATGCATGTGAGTCACCCATGCATGTGAGTCACCCATGCATGTGAGTCACCCATGCATGTGAGTCACCCATGCATGTGAGTCATCCATGCATGTGAGTCACCCATGCATGTGAGTCATCCATGCATGTGAGTCATCCATGCATGTGAGTCACCCATGCATGTGAGTCACCCATGCATGTGAGTCATCCATGGATGTGAGTCACCGATTTATACACCCCTCTCAAGTATAATAGCTTTCGTTCAGAGAGCCTCTGTACTTTTTCAGATGTGGGATTCAATTCTGAGTAATCTCAAAAGTAGTGTTATGTGTGCCTGAATGAAAGGATTTATCGCCTGGGTATGTCTCTGCTCCTGATTCTGCAGGATGTGTTGCTTCTGGCTCTCCTGCGATCGCTGGTGAAGTCAAGTCTTGACTGCATTCTGCCACTGGTAACCGCACCCTGCCACTGGTAACCGCACCCTGCCACTGGTAACCGCACCCTGCCACTGGTAACCGCACCCTGCCACTGGTAACCGCACCCTGCCACTGGTAACCGCACCCTGCCACTTATGGTATCATCACATCGCACTATCTTTGTCAGCACACAAATTCACTCGGTAGTACCCTTCTAAACGCTGGTCCTTCCATACTTATTGACTGGATATCATATTGCATCTGTAACAAGCACTATCAAAGTGTTCTTGACTGTCCCTCATCATTGCAAGTTGAATCGTATTCCGTCTCTTACCTTCTGTGTCCCGCTGTTTACTCACGTCCCTCCCGTCCCTCCCCACCCCCAATCGCAGGTCCTGCAATGCTTATCAACAATCATTTCTCGAAAGACACCCTCTGCTGCCCCTGAAGCGGGGGACGAACCTGGGACTGGAGTGTCAGCCAGTGGAACAGGCGGGGCCGAGGGGACGACCAGTGGCTATGGGAGGGAGGGAGGGAGTAATGGAGGGGATGCAGGTGGTGGTACAGTGGGTGCAGCCGAAAAGGTGGAGAGTGCAGAGAGGGAGATCCGAGGGCTCTCCCAGTTCAAGTTGCCGCCTCTGGAGGTACTAAGGGTGTGGATTTAGTTGACTTCTTAGTCAGCTCAGCAGTCACCTGGATGGAGGTAGTACTAAGGTTGTGGACCGTGTGGTGTGGTGCATGCATCCAGTGCATAATCCGAAAAAAATATCTGCTCAAAGTTGGGGTGGTTACCGTCGGCACCGTGGTGCCACGTTTTTTGAAGTATGGACTTGCTGTCCGTTGCTCTGTGTTTCTCTCCCTTCTTCCCAGGAGCTTCTACCGCGGTTGCTTGTTTTGCTTGGAAGTGACAAAACACTCACCGATTCACCGAGGAGGATGAGAATCTTGCAGGTGACTTCCTTACCTTGTATGGCCTCCTCGCATGAATAGTCTAAGCCTCCCATACCACTCGGCCGTCTTCTTAGTCTCGACTCTCCAGCCTTCCAGCACCATCTCATCAGAACCTATCAAATGAGAAGTGGCTCAAAAGTGATGAGGATCAGTTTAGAAGAGCCCTTCTCGTGCTCCATCCTTTAAACACCTCATTATGTAGCCTCTTAGCCTTCATCCAGTATGACTTTGACTTGTAACCAATAAATCTTCTGCAAACCGGTCTCAACCCTCAGCGCCTTGTCCAATTGGCGAGAAATGCTGTTTGCCCAAACATAGCACACAACCAGCAACTTTCCTTGATTCTTCCGACTCGATTCCACTTTCCTTGGTTCTGCTTTGATACTTTCGCAGGTCCTTGAGTTTGTTCGCCAGAGCACTCTGCCTTCTGCCTTTGAGTCGCTCGCTCTCGACGTAAGCCCACTTGGTCTTGCCTGGTCTGCTCGTTATGTTCTATCCGTGTCTTTTCCCTTGCTCGATGTGTGCGGAAAAAAAGAGCTATGCACCCCTGCTCGTTGCTCCTCTGGGGGTGCGTGGCTTTTATTTGGCAAACTACCATATTAGTACTCGGTTTTTTTCTTTGAGGATGAAACCGAAGAATAACAAACGTATGAAATAGTTCTTGTGTTTCTTGTCACTCTCTTCCCACCCACCCTTTTTTTTTTTTTCCCCCAGAGACGTCTAAAAAACTTACTTATATCACACGACTTCCCACCCACCCCTTTTTCATGAGATCGAGCATGTGAAGCACATCGCAGAGCCCTTGAAGCACAATACATTGAACCACTTCCCCTCCTTTCCTCCTTTCTACCCCCTCTTCCCCCCTTCCCTCCTCACTTTCCCTCCTTTCCTCCATCCCACCTTCCCATCAGATCGAGCACATGACGCACTTAGCAGAGCGCCTTGGGAGAAAACAGTCTCTGGAGCGCAGAAGAGCTGTTTGGCAGGACGCCACCATGAAGGTATTTAACCCTTTCCAGAGCACAAGGAAAACAGTTTGGCAGGGTTCCAAGGTGAAGGCAATGAGGAAGCTTGTAATGAGATTTTTTAGGCGCCTCAAAATGTGGCAGGGTTCCAAAACATTGCTGGATGAAGGTAATGAGGAAGCTGGTTATAAGGTTATGAGCACCGTTTGTTCATGGAGGTTCGGTTCGGATTGTCTCAAGTTGTTTTGAATGTGACGTGTTTATTTGAGCACCATTCGGATTGCATCTTGTGTTTATTTAAAGGTCGAGCAGGGCCAGATGTCGTTCTCCTTGTGTGGAGTGGAGTGTTCACTCTTTGTGACGCTTCTCCCGCAACCAATCTCCCGGTTTCTTGCTGTGACTCTCTGTGGTCCTTCGAGTGAGAGTGCAAATGGACACGGCAGGCAATCAGATGTGCAGCTGTGCTGAAGCTGTTTCAATCTCTATCTCGCTCATTCTGCTTCTGCCCTTAACCCTGTGTTCCCTCGTTTCTGGGTGATTCGTGGGGTATGGCATGGCATGAGCCAGCGTTTTTTCAACTCTCATTTGCGTGATTTTTTTGTGCTCTTGTCTCTTTGGATACTCTCCTTGAACACGTGTGGGCATCATATCATATTACTCTTGTCCTCAGATGCCCAAGAGAGCAGTGGTGTTTAAGACTCTCCTAGAACTCCTGTGGGCATCATGTCATGTTATTCTTCTCCTCAGATGCTCAAGTTTTGAGGCGCCTCGAAAGTTGTCTTCCTGAAAACTCTCCTAGAACACCTGTGTGCATCAATTATCATTCTTGTCCCCAGATGCTGAAGAGAGCAATCGACGCGGTGAACCATGCCGACTGGACTGCGCGGGTGTGTGACGGCTTTGCTGCCTTCTACTTGTGGCCGTGCACGGATGCAAGTCAACACATCCTGCTGCACCGGTGGGTGGGTTACTGCTTTCTGTAGCGAACATCCATGGATGCATGTATGTGTGCGTGGCACATTGTATTGGGTTGGGTTGCTGTTTGCCGGCTTCGCCGCCTTCTACCTGTGGCCGTGCATGGACGCAAGCTAACACATCCTGCTGCACAGGTGTGTTACTGCTTTCCCAATTGATTACTCGTGCATGCGTTTGTGTGGTGCATTGCATTGTATCGGACTGGACGGGTGTTTGGCGGCTTTGCTGCCTTTTACTTGTGGCCGTGCATGGACGCAAGCCAACACATCCTGCTGTACAGGTGGGTGGGTTACGTCTCTCCGTAGTTCTTGTTTGTGTATGTGTGCGTAGCACGCTGTATGGAAATGGGTTTGGTGGGTGTGTGATGGCTTTGCTGCCTTTTACCTGTGGCCGTGCATGGACGCAATCTAACACATCCTGCTTAATCATACGCACGCATATGAGCATATGTTCACTATTCTCTTAGTGATAAACTCAACCAAAGTTCACAAATTTTCTCTCTCGTTCCTTTCCCCCTCCTGCCTCCCTCACACCAGGTGCATGGGGGCGCTTGTCCAGCGGGCGGCAGACTCCGTCTTCATTCAGCGCCGGGTGGCGCTCATGTTTGACTCTGCCGCCCTCTCTGACCCCCTCGACCGGCACGCCCTTGCCATGGGGCTTGGCACAGTGAGTCTCTCCTTTCCTCTTCTCAGGGGGCTTGGCTCGGCACTGTGAGCTTCTCCTTTCTTCTTCTCAGTCTGCTGTTAGTGGGGCTTGGCTTGGCACGTTGAATCTGTTGTTGTTTTTTTTTTTTTTTTTCTCTGTTTCTTTTTTATAATTTTCAAAAAACAGACTCTGCTGTGAGTGGGGCTTGGCTTGGCACGTTGGCTCTCTTTGCAGCAAGTCCGCAACTCCTACTCTGTCTCCAACCTGCAGCCTGCAGCAGTGTGTTGCCTTCTCTCTGCTCACTCAACTCCCACTATGTCCTGTCCCATGTTTCCTCTCTCTCTGCAGGTGGCGGCAGTGCATCTCGATGTGGTGTTGGCCACCTTGGAACAAGTCCTTGACTCCTACTCTGTCTCCAATCTGCAACGGTATGTTTCCTCCCCCCCTTTTTTTTTTACTTCTTCTTTGTGTAATAAATCATATCAGAATGTTATCTCTTTTCATAAGAATGAGACATGAGGTATACTAAGCTACTTGGCCATTGGCCTGTCCCAAATCCCCCTCCCTTTCCTGTTACTTTCTCATCGCTTTCATCCCCTGCCTGGAATTCCATTGCTCACAGCACATATATACCTGTTTCTGTTAGGATCCTTGGCTCCCATTCAGTCGTCTTCTGTGAGAAGACAACTTTTTGGACATCACAAAACCTTCTCCTATCGTTCTCCATGCGCTTTTTTCCCTTCCTCACAGCATATACCAGTTTGTCAAAACCCTCGGTAATCAATCGGCCATCTTCATCCCCAAAACCTCCTCCGCTTCCTCGGCCTCGAAGCTCGCTCTCCCGCCTCTCGAGCGCCTATTCAAGAAGGAGACTGCCACGTCAGCAGCTGCTGACTTCCTCCGGGACCCGCTGATGCATGATGACGTGTGCGCTGCGCTGGCGCTGACGTATCGGTACACGGTGGCCTTCTCGGAAGCTTCCGTGGTGGATTCGCGAATCAGGACACTGTTGGTCAGTTGGCTTTGCATAGGCGATGAGATGGCATTGCTGTAGCAGTTGATGTCACATGGCGTGTACCACAATGCCAATACCAGCAGAGGCGATTGTGAGGAGTAGGAACAACAAAGCCATTGATTTAGGTGATTCTGAAACATTGGTCCAATCCATCTTCGTGTTAGCCTTCGCTACTCCGCTATCGAACGCTCTTCTCCCCTTCCCTTTATGAACGTGTTTGCCCAGTTGGCTGCAGTAACATCCATCCCAGCCAAGACAGCTGTAGTGCAATCAACCCTCACATTTGCCTCTGCTGCTCTCTTCCCTCTTACGCCCTGTTTGTTCCCACTTGCTCTTCTTCCCCCCTCCATTCCCTGATTCCCACAGGATGCAAACGTGCTTGCCCAATTGGCTGCAATGACGTCCTTCCCTGCCAAGCTGGCCGTGGTGCAATCAAATCATCCTCACGCTCGCATCTGCTGCACTTTTCCCTCTTGTGCCCTCTTTCTGCCCACTTGCTCTTCTTCTCCTCTTTCCCCGATCCATGCAGGATGCGAACGTGTTTGCTCCCTTAGCTGCAGTGGCGGCCCTCCCAGCCAAGGCAGCTGTGGTTCAATCCATCCTCACACTCGCCTCTGCTGCTCTCACTGCTCCTCCATCCGCTCTCACCACCCCTCCACCGCCCCATTCAAGTGCTTACCCAGCTGCCCATTTCGCCCCAGTCCTTTCGACTTCAACAAGTCATGTAACGGCCTCCTCCATACCACAAACCACCGCCATCAATCTCAAGAGCCGCGACGATCTTATCAGCTGCTGCCTCCATTTTCTCCCGCCGATTCCTTCTCCAACCCCTCTCGCACCACCCTCCGTATCCTCTTCCTCCTCCTCGTCCTCTTCCACCTCCTCCCCTCTACCCACCTCCTCCTCTTTGGCTTCATACGCTTCTTCCACCTCATTCTTCCAGTCGCCTCTCGCCGCGCCTACTCCCGGACCAACGAACACCTCTGTACCAGCCGCAGCCCCAGGCTCGGGTGTAGGCTCGGGCTCGGGTTCGGCAGCAGGTGGTGTTGCTGCGCCGAGGTTTATAGTAAGGATAAGGGGAGCTGGTGGCGCGGATGGGGGCGCAGGGGGAGCGGGAGGGGGAGGGGGAGTGGGTGGAGGAGGGGGAGGGGGAGTGGGTGGAGGAGGGGGAGGGGGAGTGGGTGGAGGAGGGGGAGGGGGAGGGGCATACGTGTTAGGGGAGGAGGAGGTGCGGCTTCAGATGGCGTGTGTGCGGGCGTGCACAGCCCTGATTCAGTCTCACCCACAGCTCACTTCAGCTGTTCGCAAGAGCGTGCAGGTGAGCAAGCATAGTGTGGTGCAGGTGAGAAGTAGGCACTTGGCAGTAAGAGGGGGAGGGGCATACGTGTTAGGGGAAGAGGAGGTGCGGCTTCAGATGGCGTGTGTGCAGGCGTGCACGGCTTTGATTCGCTCTCATCCACAGCTCACTTCCGCTGTTCGCAAGAGTGTGCAGGTGAGGTTAAGTTTGGGTGATTGTCACTGTTTCATCTCAATGGCTCTCAACCCCTCTTGATCTCTCTCACTCCCATCTCAATAACTCTCAACCTCTTTCCACCTCTTCCAGGCGGTCACTCCACTGCTGTGCATTGACGACTCACCATTGGCTGGTCGTGTGAAAGGAGAGAGGGGACTGGGGAGAGGAAGAGGAGAAGGGGGGATTGGTACAGTGGATGTGGAGGGAGGGGGCGGAGGAGAGGGTAGGGAGGAGCGAGAGGGGTCGAGCACAAGTAGTTCGGACAGTGAGAGTGGCTCTGACGAGGATGAAGAGAAAGTGAGGAGGAATGAAAAGGAGGAGAAGAGGAGGGTGAGGAGGACTGGTGGGAGAGAGAGGAGGGGCCAGCGGAAGCAGCTTGGCCCATTGGCAGTTAGTGTCATCTCTCTACTGTGTAGCGTGCTACAGATGAGGTGAGCTGCTACAGATGAGGTGAGCTGCTACAGATGAGGTGAGCTGCTACAGATGAGGTGAGCTGCTACAGATGAGGTGAGCTGCTACAGATGAGGTGAGCTGCTACAGATGAGGTGAGCTGCTACAGATGAGGTGAGCTGCTACAGATGAGGTGAGCTGCTACAGATGAGGTGAGCTGCTACAGATGAGGTGAGCTGCTACAGATGAGGTGAGCTGCTACAGATGAGGTGAGCTGCTACAGATGAGGTGAGCTGCTACAGATGAGGTGAGCTGCTACAGATGAGGTGAGCTGCTACAGATGAGGTGAGCTGCTACAGATGAGGTGAGCTGCTACAGATGAGGTGAGCTGCTACAGATGAGGTGAGCTGCTACAGATGAGGTGAGCTGCTACAGATGAGGTGAGCTGCTACAGATGAGGTGAGCTGCTACAGATGAGGTGAGCTGCTACAGATGAGGTGAGCTGCTACAGATGAGGTGAGCTGCTACAGATGAGGTGAGCTGCTACAGATGAGGTGAGCTGCTACAGATGAGGTGAGCTGCTACAGATGAGGTGAGCTGCTACAGATGAGGTGAGCTGCTACAGATGAGGTGAGCTGCTACAGATGAGGTGAGCTGCTACAGATGAGGTGAGCTGCTACAGATGAGGTGAGCTGCTACAGATGAGGTGAGCTGCTACAGATGAGGTGAGCTGCTACAGATGAGGTGAGCTGCTACAGATGAGGTGAGCTGCTACAGATGAGGTGAGCTGCTACAGATGAGGTGAGCTGCTACAGATGAGGTGAGCTGCTACAGATGAGGTGAGCTGCTACAGATGAGGTGAGCTGCTACAGATGAGGTGAGCTGCTACAGATGAGGTGAGCTGCTACAGATGAGGTGAGCTGCTACAGATGAGGTGAGCTGCTACAGATGAGGTGAGCTGCTACAGATGAGGTGAGCTGCTACAGATGAGGTGAGCTGCTACAGATGAGGTGAGCTGCTACAGATGAGGTGAGCTGCTACAGATGAGGTGAGCTGCTACAGATGAGGTGAGCTGCTACAGATGAGGTGAGGTGAGCTGCTACAGATGAGGTGAGCTGCTACAGATGAGGTGAGCTGCTACAGATGAGGTGAGCTGCTACAGATGAGGTGAGCTGCTACAGATGAGGTGAGCTGCTACAGATGAGGTGAGCTGCTACAGATGAGGTGAGCTGCTACAGATGAGGTGAGCTGCTACAGATGAGGTGAGCTGCTACAGATGAGGTGAGCTGCTACAGATGAGGTGAGCTGCTACAGATGAGGTGAGCTGCTACAGATGAGGTGAGCTGCTACAGATGAGGTGAGCTGCTACAGATGAGGTGAGCTGCTACAGATGAGGTGAGCTGCTACAGATGAGGTGAGCTGCTACAGATGAGGTGAGCTGCTACAGATGAGGTGAGCTGCTACAGATGAGGTGAGCTGCTACAGATGAGGTGAGCTGCTACAGATGAGGTGAGCTGCTACAGATGAGGTGAGCTGCTACAGATGAGGTGAGCTGCTACAGATGAGGTGAGCTGCTACAGATGAGGTGAGCTGCTACAGATGAGGTGAGCTGCTACAGATGAGGTGAGCTGCTACAGATGAGGTGAGCTGCTACAGATGAGGTGAGCTGCTACAGATGAGGTGAGCTGCTACAGATGAGGTGAGCTGCTACAGATGAGGTGAGCTGCTACAGATGAGGTGAGCTGCTACAGATGAGGTGAGCTGCTACAGATGAGGTGAGCTGCTACAGATGAGGTGAGCTACATACAGTTTTGGTGGCAGGGGCGAGGATGGCAAGGAGGGCGAGGAAGAGCTACAGCACAAGCCCTGCATGCGCTTATGTAGACACGCACCACATGCCACCGCATGCCACCGCATGCCACCACATGCCACCACATGCCACCACATGCCACCACATGCCACCACATGCCACCACATGCCACCACATGCCACCACATGCCACCACATGCCACCACATGTCACCACATGCCACCTCATGCCACCGCATGCCACCACATGCCACCACATGTCACCACATGCCACCTCATGCCTAACCCCAACTCCCTCACCATCCCCCTCTACCTCTACCTCTCCCTCTCCTTCTACCTCTCCCTCTCCCTCTCCCTCTCCCTTTGCCTCTCCCTCTCCCTCTGTTACTCTCTCTCTCCCTCTGTTACTCTCTCTCTTCTTGCAGCAACGTGGATAGCAAGGAGGAGGAGGAGCAGTTACAAATCATGCTCTCCCTCCTCCGCCCCCTCCTCTCCCTCCTCCTCCCACCCTCTCCTCCTCCCCAACCCTCCTCCCACCTACCCTCTGCCCTCAACCCCACCACTCTCCTATCATCCGCCTTCCCTTCCAACACCACTCCACCCAGTAGCACCCATCCCAACCCAGCAGCACCACTTCAAACCCAAGCAGGTAGCAAGCCTGGGAGTAAGCCCAGCAGCAAACCTACCAGCAAGCCTAGCAGCCAGCCAGGGAGCCCTGGCCCTCGGGCAAGAGGGAAATCAAACCTGGGGGGTGCAGCAGGAGGAGGGGAGAGAGGAGGGGGAGAGGAGGGAGAAGGGGGAGCAGGGGAACGGGAGAGAGAAACTGGAGAGGCGGAAGCAGCATCAGCAGTGGAGGTAGTTGCATCGGCGCAGCAGCGGGTGCTGACAGCGTACCTGGCAGTGTGTGCCCAGTTCCATTTGCTGGCACTAGGAGATGAGGGGCTGCTGGGTTGTTGTAAGGAACAAGTTTGCGGCTTTCTCGAAGCTAGCAGTGGTGGAGTGCGGTACACGGAAATGCAGCAAGGTACGCATGACACATAACAAGATTGGTCAAGGGGTGTGCTCTAGTGACAGCGTACCTTGCAGTGTGTGCCCAGTTCCATGCGCTGGCACTTGGGGAGCAGAGGCTGCCTGGTTGGTCTGAAGAAGGCATTGTAAGCCTAAACCAGTTACCACCGGAGTTTTACACAAGAATTTTTCTACAATGTACTACCAATGTACTACGGTGGTACAATGTACCACTGATGTTGAATCCTAAGTTGCTGCCACGTATGAGCCCAATGGCACCTAACTGGTGTCCTCTTCCATCATGCCCCTCGCTCAATCTCGGGCATCACGTGGCCGTCGTTCTGCCGTTCTGCGCCATCGTGTTTCGAGGCACCTCAGAGCACTCTCTCTGAACCCTCTCCTCCTTCCCAACACCCCCTCCCCTTTTTTCCCAGCTCACACCCCCCCATCACGCCCCTCGCTCAATCTCGGGCATCACGTGGCCGTCGTTCTGCCCTTCTGTGCCAATGGTGACCCCACACTCCAACTGCTCGGCTGCAAGGTAGCTTTTTATATTATTATTATTATTCTCAGAACATGCCTGCAACAGCAAATCCCTTGCGCCAATGTGGACCCCACGCTCCAACTGTTTGTTGCAAGGTCACCCTTTCCTCCTTCGTAAGCCGCTGTTTTCCCCCTGGATTTTTGCTTCCATCCACCTCCACTACTCCACCTCTTTCCTTCCTCTTTCTCTCCCCTCTCTTGCGCCTCGCCTTGAGTTCCAATCAGTGCCATAGTAACGAGGTGACTTTTGAGTCGACTCAAAAGTCTACTCTTTCTCTCCCCTCTCTTGCGCCTCGCCTTGAGTTCCAATCATCCTGCTCCCTGCCATTCCAGTTTTCTGCACATCTGTCAATCTGTCATTCTGCCAATCTGTCATTCTGCCATTGCACCAGTCTGCCAACTTTGCCATCCTGCCACCCCCCATCCCCTCATCCCACCAGGTGGTTCTGCTGCTGCTGACCACAGCTGTCGCCCTCTCCTCTCCACCTGAGGCCTCCTGCGTTTCTCCTGACAACCCACCTGAGGTTTCATCACAATCAGCCCATTCCCCCCCAGCCTCTCCCTCCTCCTCTCTGCCTGTCTCCACTCACCCGGCCACCCACCAATTAGACGAAACCACCGAAACCAGCAGTCAGCAGGAAGCGCAACCAGCAGCAGCAGCTGCTGGCCCCAGAGCTTCTTCTGAGTCTCCTTCCTCCCATCCCTCCTCTCAACCGACTCACTCCTCCCTCCTTGCTGCTCTGGAAGCGAAGGTCTCTGCAGTGTCGCATCAGGTGGGGAAGCTTATAGTGGGGATGGGTTGGGCGGTACTACGTGTATGCAACACCTGCAACGTTGCATGAGGCGTGTGTGCAACACCTGCAACGTTGCATGAGGCGTGTATGCAACACCTGCAACGTTGCATGAGGCGTGTATGCAACACCTGCAACGTTGCATGAGGCGTGTATGCAACACCTGCAACGTTGCATGAGGCGTGTATGCAACACCTGCAACGTTGCATGAGGCGTGTATGCAACACCTGCAACGTTGCATGAGGCGTGTATGCAACACCTGCAACGTTGCATGAGGCGTGTATGCAACACCTGCAACGTTGCATGAGGCGTGTATGCAAAACCCTGAATGCTGGGGGGGCTGTGAGGCGTTACTTCCTGCTCCTCCATGCTGCGGGTTCTCCTCCCTTCACCCTGAAAGGCTCGTCCGGAGATTCTCTAAGGCTGTGCTGCTGGTTCCACCTCTCCCTACTGTGTTTTGAGTCGACTCAAAACACACCTCGCCCTACTTCACCCTTTGGCTTGCAGGGCTCGTCACAGGGGGAGATGGTGGAGGGGTCGTCGGAGGAACAACGGGCGGTGCTTTTCGCCGCTGCTGTGGAGTGCGTTGCACATGTGCTGACAGCTGATGAGGTGAGGGGGAGGGGCACGACGTTAATGGAAAGATGCTTGTGTACTAGGGAAGAGGTAGATGGGAGACCTCGGACATAATTCCAGTGAGCAGCAGTGCCTAGGTTTAGGCTTAAGCAAGTAGCCTAAACCTAGGCACTGCTGCTCACTGGAATTATGTCAGAGGATCTGCTTGTGTACTAGGGAAGAGGTAGATGGGAGACGGTCACTTCAGTTTGACGCTGCTGTGGAGTGCGTTGCGTTGCATCACCGCTCCTCCTCACCTCATCAGCCATCAGCTCATGCGCAGCGCACTCCACAGCAGCGTCGAAAATCACTCCCCCACACTGAAGTGCCACTCCTGGCAGCAGACGCCATTTTTCATGTTACCTGGTAGCCGCTCCACAAGCAACCCATTCCTTTGCATCACTTCCCTTCATACTCCCTTTTCCTTGTCACCAGGTGGCAGGCAGTGCTCCTCCTAGCAGCAGACGCGTTCCTTCACATCTCCTGCGCCAGCCACTGCCACTAGCTACCCATCAATTTACATCACTTCCCTTCATAATCCCTTCTCCTTGTCACCAGGTGGCAGTCCTACTCCTAGCAGCAGACGCGTTTCTCCACATTACTTGTGCCGGCCACTCCCCCTCCACCACCACAAGCACAAACCAGGGCAGCCAAGCACATGAGGACAGGGACAGAGGGTCTGTGCACTTGCAGGGCGCAGCAGCAGCGGAGTGTGAGTACGTGGGGAGTGTGGTGAGCCGGTGCATGGAAGCCGTGCTTCGAATCATCTCCCTCAGAGGCCACCAGGTGCAGCAGCAGGGGGAATCCGAGGCTGAGGAGGGTTCAGTGCAACCTGCACATGGGTCGAAGCAGCCGCTGCAGCAGGAGCGGGAGGATTTGGAGCAGCAGGGCAGGGCAGGGAGGATCATTGAGCGAGTTGTTGCAGCGTCGCTTGGTTGTCACTACAACTCTGCCCGGCTGCCTGCCTTTGCTGCGGTACGTGCTTTCATTCCAGGTCCTCCTGCTTCAGGCTCGCACAAACGTTCCACTTTGTTTTTAGACTCTCTAAAACCCGTCCTTGAAATACGTGTGACTCATCGGCCTTCATTGGCCTTCATTGGCCTTCATTGGCCTTCATCGGCCTTCATTGGCCTTCATTAGACTCAGAATTGAACAAACCCTAACCTCATGGGCAGGCGTGCGCTCTATGGCTTCCTGCAATCCCTCTTCCTTGTTCCTCTGTGTGTTGTTCCTCTGTGTGTTGTTTCAACGAAGACTCATAATCTCCCAGTTTCTCTTCCTCGAACAAACCCTACCCTCTGCCAGGTCTGCTCTCTGGCTGCTGCCTGCGACCCCGCTGCCCTGTTCCGCTGTGTGCTGCAGCACGTGGAAGAAACTTCTGGGAAGCTGCCAGCCCTTGAAGAGCTTGTCGAGGTGCGGTGGGTGCGGTTGTGGGTTGTTGCAGGTTGGGGAGGCATTGCAAATATGGTGTGAAGTGGTTTTTGAGAATTCTCAAAAACCAGGTTGGGGAGGCATTGCAAATATGGTGTGGAGTGGTCTGAAATGGTTCCAAATGTAAGTCTTCAGCAGTGCAACCATTGCTGCGAGTGCTCGACCATTTCTTCCCTTGTCGTCCCTCCCTCTCTCTGCTGGAGATTACTCAGCATCCCTCGCTGAGTCCCCAGCTTTTCCACCAGCTTGTACCGAAGCTCACCCCAGGCTTCGACCCTGTTGGTGCAAGTTCCTACTCTCCAACAATTTGTTCTCCTTCCTTCGCTGTGCCTCCCTTTCGCCCTCGCTTTCTGCAGGAAATTGCTCGGCACCCGTCTCTCGGCCCCCAGCTCTTCCACCTGCTTCTGCCGAAGCTCATCCCTGGCTTCGATCCGGTTGGCCTGGTGGAAGGCTTGCATCAAGCAGCACAGCCACAATCGCTAGAGCAGCACGGGAGTGAGCAGTTAGCAGCGCCAGAAGGGGCTGGAGCAGCAGCAGCAGGGGTACTTACAGAGGGGCAACAGGACGAATCTGCTGCATCAGAAGCAGCGGAGCAGGCACAGCTGGGGAAGGCTGTATCTGAGGCTGCTGCTGCTGCCGGTGGTGGTGGTGCTGGTGGTGGTGCTGCTGCCGCCGCTTCGCTCACCTTTGATCCCAGCGCTACAGTTGCAGCTGCGGTGGTTGCTGCTGCCTCACATGCAGGAAGGGCAAGGAGAGTGGGGAGTGTGGGGAGTGCAGGCAAGCCGTTCATCTACTCCTCTGGCTCCAAAGCAGCCAATCGAACCCTTGGGATCATGCTCAGGTGAGAGCGCATGCTTTGAGTCAACTGGAGAAAGGTTGTAAAAGTGGTGGGAATGCAGGGAGTGTAGGGAGTGCAGGTAAGCCCTTCATCTACTCCTCTGGCTCCAAGGCGGCCATCAGGACTCTTGGGATCATGCTCAGGTGTGCTGGTTGTGGAGTGTGGGGAGGGTGTGGAAGGTGGGGAGGGGTGGCACCCTTCCGCCAAACTCAACCAAAAAGCCCTACACTACACCATCCCCACCATCCAAACGCTGCACCTGCTGCTCTGCGCTCTTGCCACTGATCTCATTTGCCCCCTCTCCTTCCTGCTCGTCCCCCTTAACCTCAACCAAGCAGCACTACCCTACAGCATGCCCACCATCCACATGCTAAATTTGCTGCTCTGCGCTCTCGCCGTCGACACCACATGTGCCCCCTCCCTCCCTGTCTTCCCCCTCCTTCCCTGTCTTCCCCCTCCTTCCCTGTCTTCCCCCTCCTTCCCTGTCTTCCCCCTCCTTCCCTGTCTTCCCCCTCCTTCCCTGTCTTCCCCCTCCTTCCCTGTCTTCCCCCTCCCTCCCTGTCTTCCCCCTCCTTCCCTGTCTTCCCCCTCCTTCCCTGTCTTCCCCCTCCTTCCCTGTCTTCCCCCTCCTTCCCTGTCTTCCCCCTCCTTCCCTGTCTTCCCCCTCCTTCCCTGTCTTCCCCCTCCTCCCTGTCTTCCCCCTCCTTCCCTGTCTTCCCCCTCCTTCCCTGTCTTCCCCCTCCTTCCCTGTCTTCCCCCTCCTTCCCTGTCTTCCCCCTCCTTCCCTGTCTTCCCCCTCCTTCCCTGTCTTCCCCCTCCTTCCCTGTCTTCCCCCTCCTTCCCTGTCTTCCCCCTCCTTCCCTGTCTTCCCCCTCCTTCCCTGTCTTCCCCCTCCTTCCCTGTCTTCCCCCTCCTTCCCTGTCTTCCCCCTCCTTCCCTGTCTTCCCCCTCCTTCCCTGTCTTCCCCCTCCTTCCCTGTCTTCCCCCTCCTTCCCTGTCTTCCCCCTCCTTCCCTGTCTTCCCCCTCCTTCCCTGTCTTCCCCCTCCTTCCCTGTCTTCCCCCTCCTTCCCTGTCTTCCCCCTCCTTCCCTGTCTTCCCCCTCCTTCCCTGTCTTCCCCCTCCTTCCCTGTCTTCCCCCTCCTTCCCTGTCTTCCCCCTCCTTCCCTGTCTTCCCCCTCCTTCCCTGTCTTCCCCCTCCCTCCCTGTCTTCCCCCTCCCTCCCTGTCTTCCCCCTCCCTCCCTGTCTTCCCCCTCCTCCCTGTCTTCCCCCTCCTTCCCTGTCTTCCCCCTCCTTCCCTGTCTTCCCCCTCCCTCCCTGTCTTCCCCCTCCTTCCCTGTCTTCCCCCTCCTTCCCTGTCTTCCCCCTCCTTCCCTGTCTTCCCCCTCCCTCCCTGTCTTCCCCCTCCTTCCCTGTCTTCCCCCTCCTTCCCTGTCTTCCCCCTCCTTCCCTGTCTTCCCCCTCCTTCCCTGTCTTCCCCCTCCTTCCCTGTCTTCCCCCTCCTTCCCTGTCTTCCCCCTCCTTCCCTGTCTTCCCCCTCCCTTCCCTGTCTTCCCCCTCCTTCCCTGTCTTCCCCCTCCTTCCCTGTCTTCCCCCTCCTTCCCTGTCTTCCCCCTCCTTCCCTGTCTTCCCCCTCCTTCCCTGTCTTCCCCCTCCTTCCCTGTCTTCCCCCTCCCTCCCGCCTCTATCTCCCTCCTTCGGGCACCCTTTGTCCGACTTCAAGCAAGCAGCCCTACCGTAGGGCTGCTTGCTGCTGCTTGCTTGAGCAGCAGGTGTAGCCCTACCATACACAATCCCGACCGTCTACACCCTTCACCTGCTGCTCTGTGCTCTTGCCATTGACACCGTCGCCTCTCTCCCCAAGGCTGCCCTCGTCCTCTCTGTCCCTCTCCGTCCCTGCCCCCCCTCTATCTCTTCCCATCAGGCACCCATCACCCAACCTCAAGCAAGCAGCACTGCCCTACACAATCCCCACCGTCCACACGCTGCACCTCCTCCTCTGTGCTCTCGCCATCGACACCATCGCCTCCCACCCTGAAGCTGCTCTCTCCTCCACCGGTCCCCTCAGCAAGAGAATCAACGATGCCATTACAGCAGCAGACGGAGGCCTCTGGTCCAGCGACCCCTTCCTGTGAGTGAGCTGCTTTGCCATGCGAGGCTACTCTCGCCTCCACCACCACGGCTTCCACTGCCATGACGGCCCCATTAGATCTCCTACCTGAGGAAGAGATCGAATGGGGCCATCATGGCGGCACATGGAGGGCTGTGGTCCAGCGACCCATTCCTGTGAGTCACATGCCTCCTTGCGCACATGCTCTCAGCCTTGTTCTCAGCCTTGTTCTCTGTTTTGTTCTTGTGGGGAGCTGGCTCAAGGCAAGCTTATGAACTCCCTTGTCACCAGGTCGACCTGCTTCAGCCTCGTCTTCCCTTGTCACCAGGCCGACCTGCTTCAGCCTCGTCTTCCCTTGTCACCAGGCCGACCTGCTTCAGCCTCGTCTTCCCTTGTCACCAGGTCGACCTGCTTCAGCCTCGTCTTCCCTTGTCACCAGGCCGACCTGCTTCAGCCTCGTCTTCCCTTGTCACCAGGCCGACCTGCTTCAGCCTCGTCTTCCCTTGTCACCAGGCCGACCTGCTTCAGCCTCGTCTTCCCTTGTCACCAGGCCGACCTGCTTTAGCCTCGTCTTCCCTTGCTCGTGTTCTCGACGGCTTCTCCTCTCCTCTGCACCACCGCGCCTATTCTCTCTAACCTATCTTCACCACTCTGCACCACCCTATCTTCGCCACTCTGCACCACCTTATGTGCACCCCTCTGTACCACTCTGCACCGTCATATCCATCTATCCCACTGTGCAGGCTGGTTTACGGCGCTCTCCGCTCTGTGGCTCAGTTCTTCAACCATCATCCTCTTATTGAGGTATCCTTCTCGCTCTTGCCTTTTTTCCTCGGGTTTCTTAATTCAGTCAAGGCTAATTTTGATCTAACTGGAATAAAATAATCTTTAGAATCCTTTTTGCATTACTTCCTGCTTGAATTCTTACACCCCCCTCCACAACCCTCCCCTCGCCAGGGCCTCGAAACCTTCTCACCCGAGAACGCGATTGAAGAGTAAACAACAGAAGGGGGCCGGGTCACCTGCAAAGTCAGGAGGAGTGAAATTGACATGTCACCTCCCTCCCTCCACACCCCTGCCCCCAGGCCCTCGAAACCTTCTCACCCGAGAACGTGATTCAGGAGGGGGATACCAGTGAGAACGGGAGGGGGGATACCAGTGAGAACGGGAGGGGCGGGATTGACATGACAGTGGGGCAGCTGTCGGTGCTGTGTGGACTGGTGGCGGCCCTTGTGGGGGCTATGCTCAGTGCAGGAGAGCCGCAGGGTGATGAGGTGAGTAGCGGAGGGAGGGAAGAGGGAAAAGCATCACAGTGGGGCAGCTGTCGGTGCTGTGTGGACTGGTAGCTGTGGGGGATATGCTAACTGGAGGGCGGCATGAGGTACGTGTGGGGAGGGGAGGCTGGTTATAGTTTTTTGTAGGTGGAATGGGAAGGAGGGGAGTGTAGTGTAGGGAATGGAGAGGGGGTGAAAAGTAGGCCACAGAGGGCGGCAGGAGTCGGTGCTTTGCGGACTGGTGGAGGCCGTTGTGGGAGCCATTCTCACTGCGGAGGGGCATGTGGTACGTGGGGGGAGGGGAGGGGGAGGGGAGAGGGAGGGAAGGGAGAGGGTGGAGGAAAGAGGGGGGGAAAGCGGATGTATCAATTTCTCCATCCAACGTCTCCATCCTCCCTTTCCCTCTCTGTGGCGGGAGGGAGAAGAGGGAAAGGGAGGTGCTGTCTCGCTCCCTCTCTCCTTTCCCTCTCTGCAGAGGGAGGGGGACACAGCACCTCCAGCCTCCTGCAGCTGCTGTGTGTTGGGACGGTTCTCTCCCAAACTGCCGAGTGCATTTGAGTCGACTCAAAAGAAGTGCATTCGTGCAGCGGTCTGTACAAGTATATCACCGATGCTGCTCACGTTGAACAGCTGTGCCATAATCATCCCTCCCTCCCTCTGGCCCTACCTCTGTGCTCGATCTCAGGTGCTCTCTGTTGAGGCGTTTCTCGCCCAAGCCATGGAGTGTGCTAGTGGGTTTAAGCACATCACTGGTGCTGCTCACATTAGAACGATTGTGCGCTTCCACCTCCTCGCCTTGTGTCCCACCCACTGCAGTTGCTACCCGTTGAGACGTTTCTCACCCAGGCTGTGGAGTGCACGAGTGTGTATAAATATATCACAGACGCTGCTCTCATGTGTCATGCCATGAGCCTGAGATGGAGGTAAATGGGCATGATATGCGCACATGCATGCATCTCTTACATCCATAGAGCGCCTCTGTGCCTGCACATGCTCATCACAGACGCTGCTCTGCTCTCATATGCCATGCCATGAGCGTGGGGTGGAAGTAAGCGGGCATGATGCACACGTACATGCATCACTGCATCTGCACTGGTATATCTAGTATATCACCAATGCTGCTCTCATATGCCATGCCATGAGCGTGGGGTGGAGGTAAGGGGACACCATAAGGGACCAACCTATACACATGCATTGCTCACATGATTACCCGAATGGATCCATACACCGTCTGAGGCGCTTCTAAATGGAGCACCGTACGCACATACGCGACTTTCTCACCACTGTCTCCTTCCCTTCCCAGAAAGCACCCCCCTCTTTGCGTCTACGAGGTGACTTCTGAGTCGACTCAAAAGTCAAAACGGAGTACCATACGCACATACCCAACGTGACTTTTGAGTCGATTCAAACATCAAAACGGAGCACCATACGCACATACGCGACTTTCTCGCCACTGCCTCCTTCCCTTCCCAGAAAGCACCCCCCTCTTTGCGTCTACGAGGTGACTTCTGAGTCGACTCAAAAGTCAAAACAGAGTACCATGCGCACATACGCGACGTGACTTTTGAGTCGACTCAAACGTCAAAACGGAGCACCATACGCACATACGCGACTTTCTAGACACTGCCTCCTTCCCATCCCAGAAAGCACTCCCCTCTTTGCGTCTACTCATAAACCCACCCACCAATGTGCTTTTGACGCGCATTAAAAGCAGACCTTTAATCTGATCTTTGAGTCTACTCATAGACCCACCAACGTGCTTCTGCCTCATCCCTCTTGCAGAACGGACGGTTCTGATTTGGAGGCAACAATAGCATGGCAGCTGGAGCGCTTCCAAGAAGCTTCCTCAGCTGCTCGAGCTGTCATCCTGCTTATACTCTCTAAGGTAACTCGTTTTGCACCAGACCTTTGCTGCCCTCACACACCTTGGCACACCTCCGCCCACCTCCACCCACCTCCAACCACCTCCACCCACCTCCACATACTGCTCCATGGTGGATCACATTCTCTACACCATCTCTCTCTCTCCCTACCTCATTGCAGCACCTGTAACACATTTCTGCAAACCTTCAATTACATTGGTATTTCAACAACTTAAAACTCGATTATGAGACTTCTCGTAACACACTTGTGTTACATTACCCCTTTCCCCACGCCGTCCCGTCTGCCCTCCTCCCTTGCAGCTCCCCCAGTCCTCGTCCTCACCTTCCTCCGTGGCTCATCGCATTCTTTCAACGGCTGCTCTCTCCCTGCAAAACTTTTGAGTCGACTCAAATTTCTTCCTGCGGCTGCTCTCTCCCTGCAAAACTCGTGATACTGTACTGCTTTCCTCCCCGCTGTCTCTCCACTCCCCGCTACTTGCCTTGCCCCTCCCTTGCAGCTCCCCCAGTCCTCGTCCCCACCACCCCCCGTGGCTCATCGCATTCTTTCTACTGCCTCGCTTTCCTTGCAAGACCCGAGCGCCATGGTCTCACTCGCTGCTGCAATTTGCACGCACCAGGTATGGCACATGGCAGCATGGCACATAGAAGCATGCACTCATCACTGCTTGTCTGCTGCAGAACTCTAGTGCTCTCTCCCTGCTAGACCCAAGGGCCATGGTCTCACTCGCTGCTACCATCTGTACCCACCAGGTAGGGTATTTCTATCACACGTGGTGTATGGCATTTCTATCACACGTGGTGTATGGCATTTCTATCACACGTGGTGTATGGCATTTCTATCACACGTGGTGTATGGCATTTCTATCACACGTGGTGTATGGCATTTCTATCACACGTGGTGTATGGCATTTCTATCACACGTGGTGTACGGCATTTCTATCACACGTGGTGTATGGCATTTCTATCACACGTGGTGTATGGCATTTCTATCACACGTGGTGTATGGCATTTCTATCACACGTGGTGTATGGCATTTCTATCACGCGTGGTGTATGGCATTTCTATCACACGTGGTGTATGGCATTTCTATCACACGTGGTGTATGGCATTTCTATCACACGTGGTGTACGGCATTTCTATCACACGTGGTGTATGGCATTTCTATCACACGTGGTGTATGGCATTTCTATCACGCGTGGTGTATGGCATTTCTATCACACGTGGTGTATGGCATTTCTATCACACGTGGTGTATGGCATTTCTATCACACGTGGTGTATGGCATTTCTATCACGCGTGGTGTATGGCATTTCTATCACACGTGGTGTATGGCATTTCTATCACGCGTGGTGTATGGCATTTCTATCACACGTGGTGTATGGCATTTCTATCACACGTGGTGTATGGCATTTCTATCACACGTGGTGTATGGCATTTCTATCACGCGTGGTGTATGGAATTTCTATCACACGTGGTGTATGTATGGCACATGTACACAGAAATTGTCATAGCTTGGTAAAGGAGAACCTCTCATGGTAACGGGGCTCTCAGTTCAATTAAGACACATGGCACATAGCACATGTCACATTGCTTTCCCCTTCGAGGTGACTTTTGAGTCGAGTTGACTCAAAAGTTGGCTCTCAGTCCAAGTAAGACACATGGCACGGCACGTAGCACATGTCACATTTCTTTCCCCTTCTCCTCGTTCCCCCCACCCCAACCTTCCCCGTCCGTCCCTCCCTCTCTCAGTGTCTCTCCCAGTGCAGCTTTCTGGCCAATCAGGCGCTGCCAGCTGCCACCATCCTCCAATCAACACGAGCTATCATGGTAAGGATCAAATCGGTGAGGAAACGCCAAGTGTGTCTCTGGTAGGAAATGAACCAGTGAGGTCACTGCCATTCTGCAACTATCGTATTAGCACTTTGCTGTACGTCACTTCGAGGGAGAAAATAATAGTATGTAGGACATTTGCACATGTTTTTCTCGCTGCTTGCAGAGGGTCCGTGCGCCCCAAGCCCAGGCCGCAGCAGCATGGATGGTGGGTGCACTGGCAAGCAGGCCTGGTAGCGATCTTACCTCTTCTCACTGCTTCTCCCTTGCTGCTTGCAGAGGGTCCGTGCGCCCCAAGCCCAGGCCGCAGCAGCATGGATGGCAGGCGCAGTGGCAAGCAGTCTTCTGAAGCAGCAGCAGCTGCAGCATGCACCCAGCAGTGGGGACGAGTGCAGTGAGCAGCCCCCGCCAAGCACTGCAGAATGCTCAAGAGCAGAGCTGCAAGATATTAAGCCTGAGGTGGGTTGGATGACCCTGAATTTTAAACCTTCAACCCTCAATCGTTCTTTCCTGTACCCCTGCCCTTTTTTGTTTTTCATAAGTATCATGATAAGAGCACTGCACCCTTTCGTCTCTAGTCTGATCTGATTCCAAGGCTGACGTTTGGATGCGCATCACATGCCTGTTTCCTTCTGTTGCGCATACGTTTCTGCTTGAGCCTGCATGCTTTGCAGTTCACACTGGTTGCTTTGCATACTGAATGTGGAAACTCGTTTTGCCCACACAACGAACTTAACCATGTGGTCTGGTGCCGTACTGCGACTGCATGCCGAGCCTGTTGTTCAGGTTCGGGAAACAATGACAACCCTGTGGTTCTTATCGGAGCATCAACCGGACCTAGTCACAAGCGCATGCAAGGTATAATTCCAATCAGGGAGCGCAAGCACATAGCGATGCATGTTCCTGCTCTTGAGAATTCTCAAAAGTCGCAAGCACATAGCGATGCATGTTCCTGCTCTTGAGAATTCTCAAAAGTCGCAAGCACATAGCGATGCATGTTCCTGCTCTTGAGAATTCTCAAAAGTCGCAAGCACATAGCGATGCATGTTCCTGCTCTTGAGAATTCTCAAAAGTCGCAAGCACATAGCGATGCATGTTCCTGCTCTTGAGAATTCTCAAAAGTCGCAAGCACATAGCGATGCATGTTCCTGCTCTTGAGAATTCTCAAAAGTCGCAAGCACATAGCGATGCATGTTCCTGCTCTTGAGAATTCTCAAAAGTCGCAAGCACATAGCGATGCATGTTCCTGCTCTTGAGAATTCTCAAAAGTCGCAAGCACATAGCGATGCATGTTCCTGCTCTTGAGAATTCTCAAAAGTCGCAAGCACATAGCGATGCATGTTCCTGCTCTTGAGAATTCTCAAAAGTCGCAAGCACATAGCGATGCATGTTCCTGCTCTTGAGAATTCTCAAAAGTCGCAAGCACATAGCGATGCATGTTCCTGCTCTTGAGAATTCTCAAAAGTCGCAAGCACATAGCGATGCATGTTCCTGCTCTTGAGAATTCTCAAAAGTCGCAAGCACATAGCGATGCATGTTCCTGCTCTTGAGAATTCTCAAAAGTCGCAAGCACATAGCGATGCATGTTCCTGCTCTTGAGAATTCTCAAAAGTCGCAAGCACATAGCGATGCATGTTCCTGCTCTTGAGAATTCTCAAAAGTCGCAAGCACATAGCGATGCATGTTCCTGCTCTTGAGAATTCTCAAAAGTCGCAAGCACATAGCGATGCATGTTCCTGCTCTTGAGAATTCTCAAAAGTCGCAAGCACATAGCGATGCATGTTCCTGCTCTTGAGAATGTTCTCAAAAGTCGCAAGCACATAGCGATGCATGTTCCTGCTCTCCAGTGAAGTTTCACACCCATGCATGTAGTTAACACCTCACCTCAACCCCCACGCGAGGCTCATGGATAAATCTCTTTCACGACATGCCCCCGCCCCTCCTCACAACCTTTGAGACATCTCAAAAACATGTCTCTCTCCTAATGCCCCTCGTGCTGTGTGCTGCAGGCATCCTCTCACTTTTGAGTCGACTCAAAAGCAACCTTTGAGACATCTCAAAAACATGTCTCTCTCCTAATGCCCCTCGTGCTGTGTGCTGCAGGCATCCTCTCACTCGCTGGCTTGGCTTCTGCGGTCTGATCAAGGCGATGAGTCCACCCACCAACCGTTGATGTGAGTGTTGAGGAATCTCACCCCCTTTGTGAATTTCAGTTCGGTAGAGTTTGAGTCACGTTGAACTATTCTTGTTTCTTCACATGTGGGACTGCGTACGGGAGCTGAGCATTTTCTGGAAGTAAAAAGACTAACTACCATCCGTCCACAAACCACCAAAACAAGTTGAAGAACACTCGAAGAAATCAAAGGGAGAAAAAACCATGGTGTTTGATAAGCAAGTTGTTCTCTTTCATAATGTCTAATCACCTCATGCCTCCTCCCTCTCGGATGCCCTCGTCTCAAGCATTCAATGCTCCTGCGTGTGTTATAGTGATGCCCTCTTAATGTCTCCTTCGTTCGGTCACCTCGTGTTTCCTTCCCTTCGTCTACCCTCTCCCACCCAAATTCCCTGCTCTCAAGTATAATTGAACTAATTTTCCGCTTGTATAATTTCCCTTTTTATTGTGTTTCAGGGAATCGGGTCTCTTCACTGGGAGCTTCTACCAGTTCCTCTCAAATGACTTTGTAACGAGTTTCGACGCTTACACTGGATTCACACTGGAAGTGAGTACACACCATAGTGTAATGCAAACACACACACGCTTGGCATGCGTAACCTCCATACTCAGCCTCCCCATGTCTCCGTCCCGAGTTTCGACGCTTACACTGGATTCACACTGGAAGTGAGTACACCTCACGGTGTACGCGTAAACCCCACACTCAGCAGCCCCACGTTTTCTAATTCTGAGTCGCTTTTGAGAAGTCTCAAAACCCACGTTTTCTAATTCGAGCCATTGAGTACACTTAATTGAGTACATCCGATCGAGTATAGTATCCATCTCCCCTCTTACCTCCACCTCTTCCACACCCCGTCTCCTCTTTCTCCCCACTCTCCCCTCCCTTTCCATCTCCCTTTGGCAAGCGTTCTCCCACCCCTCAGACCCCATTAAGCTCACAGCAATCTCATTCTTCACCGGCCTTATCCAATTCGTCCCCTTCCCTCCCCTTCCCCACCCTTTCCTTTTCCTCCATCTCCTTCAGACACTCTCCCACCACTCCGACCCCGTCAAGCTCATAGCAATATCATTCTTCCCCAGCCTCATCCAATTCGAATTTTGTGCGACTCAAAAGTCATTCTCCCCTCTTCCTCCCCCCTCCCTTTCATTCCCTAAACCCTCTACAGGCGCTCTCCCACCACTCAGACCCCGTCAAGCTCATAGCAATATCATTCTTCCCCAGCCTCATCCAATTCGGCTTTTGCGTCAACTCAAAAGTCATTTACCACTCTCCCTCTCCCCTCCCTTTTCCTCCATCTCCTTCAGGCGCTCTCCCACCCCTCAGACTCCGTCAAGCTCACAGCAATTTCATTCTTCACCGGCCTCATCCAATTTGTCGCCGAAACTCGCTCGGCAGCGCAGGCAGGCAGGAGCACCACACCTGCTTCATCAACACCTGTAGCATGCGGACCCAGCAACGCTTTTAGCAGCTCGCCGTTGCCTCAATCCGGTGTTGCTTTCGCAATCCCAGTGCCGCTCACGAAAGCTCTCTCTCAACTTCTGAAGAAATCCCCGAATGAGAAGCTTCGGGCTGCAGCAGCATCTTCTCTGGGAGAGATTCTTCGCCTCTCATTCAAGAGAGAGAGGTTGGGGTAGAATGTTATGGAAGGTGTGTAGTTCTTAGGCGCCTCGAAAATCGCTTCGGGCAGTGGTAGTGGCAGCATCTTCTCTGGGAGAGATTCTTCGCCTCACATTCAAGAGAAAGATGTGGTACTATGTGATACGGTAGCAAGTGTGGAGTTATTAGGCGGCTCGAAAATCGCTTTGGGCGGTTGCAGCGTCTTTTCTGGGAGAGGTCCTTTGCCTTTCATTCAAACGAGAGAGGTCGGAAGGATTCTGATTAAACACATTTATAAGGTAAGGGGCCACAGATTCGAGACTCTTGCTTAAAAGCTTCGGGCTGTAGTGGCATCTTTTCTGGGGGAGATTCTTCGCCTCTTATTCAAAAGAGAGAGGTCCGTTTGATACCATGTGATAGAAAGTATGGAGTTTTTAGGCGCCTCAAAAAAGTTTCGGGCTATGGCAGCATCTTCCCTTGGGGAGATGCTTCGGCTTCCATTCAAGTTAGGGAGGTCTGATATCGGTAGAATGTGATAGAAAGTGTGGATGTGTTATAAAATGTGGAGCGTGCATGCCGTGAAGTGTGTTGGAAACAATAAGTCCTAAGTGCGCTTCTGTCGTATCAAAATCCAAGGTACCAAGCGAAGCAGTCCCAATCGAAGCATCGAGTCAACCTCGGAGGTTAGGGTAACCGCCTGGAGGTTACGAGAAAGCCAAAGGTCGCTGACCTTTGACTCGACAATTACAGCGCGACAGTTAAGGACACACAACTGACTCGTTACAGAGCAGTTGCCCGAGTCGCGCTATATCGAACCGCAACAGCAATACAGTTATCTATCTATTCCCTGTACTCTTATATAAATCCTTGTATTTGCTTGTTTAATTCAATCAACTTTGCTCTCACACACCAGTGCAAGGTCGGTTCAAATTCTTCACTAAACGCTTCCGCTATTACAACTACTTCACCTAGAGTTATCCCTTGCAAAGATCCTAAGGGGCTATCTCAGCCCAACATGGTATGAGAGCAGACAAGGGAAACTCTACTCCTTTTTCAATATCATTACAAGACATGGCAACAAACAAGGAAAGGAGCTCCCCTAATGGCTCCTCGGGCACTACTCCTACTCCACCGCCAGCCTCTGGCCTGCAGACAGAAGAAGGCACGACAACAAGACCAAGAGGAACGTCAACCGAGACCCCCATGAACCACCCTTCGGACTTTGACCAGAACATGATGGAGAAATTTTTCTCCTTCATGTCCTTCTACGAACAACACCAGCAGTCGGGACCTGCACAAACACACAACAGCAACAACGGAGCGACACCCATGAGTCTTGATGGGTCGTCATATGCGCGAGGAAACCAGCAGCAGCAATCTACCTTTGCTCCGTACGAGCGCGGGTCAATCAGCTTCGTGCCCCACCCGCAACCTTCACCTGGACAAGAAAGACCACTGGACGCACTTCAAGTTCAGTCGCAGTTTGCACACGTCTTAAAACTGCAAACGTCAAGACCCTTCGACGGCAAAGACTTCTTTACCTGGTCCTTTGAATTCGAGCTGATGATGGAGGGCGCGCAGATACTCGGCTTCTTCGACGGGTCCCTGCAGTATCCAGCCAACGGGACACAATATGAAAAGCAGCAGTATACGTATCAATCAATGATGGCGTATACAATCCTATTGAGGAACGTGACACCAACTCAGCAGCAGAACATTCGCTCTTACCGGACCTTCGGCAACTCGGCGGAGCTCGCGTACAGCCATCTGAAGAACCTGTATCAAGCAAAAGACAGTGTAAACCAGAGCAGGTTAATGGCGCAGTTGACGACAGTCGAAATGAAACCAGGAGAAAAGGGACTGGCGTATATCAGCCGATGTCGCGAACTGCGCGACAAGCTGCTTCGATGCGGAGGGTCAATCTCTGAAGACGCCTTCGTGACAGTCATCATTGGTGGGCTTGGTCCTCAGTGGCGCGCCACCAAAGCCATTCTTCGAGCCCACGGAAGAATCTCTGAAGCTGCACTCTGCGCCGAAATACATGCCGAGCAGCAAGATATGGACCTGCAGGAAGAACGACACAGGAAGAAAACGACAGTATCAGAGTTCGCATTCCACACTCAACGACGACACAGCAATTATAACAACCGACAGCAGCAACCGAAGATAGTACCTCCCTTCTGCCACATCTGCAAGACTTCAGGGCACCCGCGCACACACTGCCCGAATCGTCAGCAATCAACGGCACCACAGCGACAACTTCGACCTTCAAGCTCCCAAATGGCTTCAACACAAGCAAGTGCGACGACCACTATTCAAGCTTCAACGACTTCACCCGGACAACCTGCACAAGGAGCAAGAAATATAATCAACTGCATGACGAAGATAACCGATTCATGTACAACCGAATCACCACCACACTACTCACCGGAAGAAGAGCTTGACAACAGAACGCCTCGCCGTGAGCTACTCCAGCCGAATCCAACGTACGCCGCCATCGCTCAAAGTGAACCGTCCGGCCAAGACACCTGGTTCTTGGACAGTTGCTGCGGGCAACACATGTGCTCGTCCGGGCGTTTCGTACAACGCGAACATCGACTCCAACGGGAAGTGATCATCACGGTTGCCAACAACCAAAACCTGCGCACACGAAGACAAGGAGTGGTACAGCTTCAGTCAAGAGAAACAAATGTCATGCTGCACATGTCTAAGGTACTCATCGCTGAAGGACTCGGCTACAACTTACTGAGCGTTAGCCAGTTGATGGCGAAAGGAATTCATCTGGAAGCCGACAGCACGACCCAGGAGTTCAAACTTTACCACGGGAGAGGCGGTCTCTACATCGGGAAAGCAGTGCTGAAGAACAACGTCTTCGTCCTCGACTTCGTTCCTGACCTGGGCACTGCAGACAGCGACGCCATCGTGAATTTCACTGACTGGACACACCCTCCGGATCTCGACCCCGACTTCAGCCCAGGAGGCTTCTGGTACTCGCACACCATTCCTGAAGCAGAACGAACACGAGCATTAGCAACAATTCGACAATCGGCAGCAGTAACAACATCGGCAGCAGCAACAACATCAGCAGCAGTAACAACATCGGTAGCAGCAACAACATCAGCAGCAGCAGGAACAACGACACCAGTCACAGTCGACGAAGCACCACCAACACCCGCGAAACAGCTGAATCCGACTCAACGTGAAGTCCACCGAAGCGCCAACCTCGTCGCCAGCTTTTACTCCAACTCCGACGCATATCAGCGTTCACCTGGACACCGCGCCTCTGAAGAGATCTGGCACGCACGAACAGGACATCCAAGCAACACGGTTTTGAATAACACGATAAGAGCAGGAGTCCTTGACAAAGATTCTCTACTTCTACCCGATGGCAGAGAACTCCAGAAGGCACGAGGGACTTGCCTTATATGTCCCGAAGCTGACTTACCTCATCGACCGTTTGCTTCACATCACAACCCGAGCGCTCCAGCGTACGCACCACTCGAAAAAGTCTACAGCGACATCCTCTACAATCGCGAGCCAGGACAAGTCAACTACAACTACACCATCACCTTCATCGACGCCGCCACTCGATACGTCTGGCATCGCAACCTACCCAGCCGCGACATGGCGCTCGCAGCATTCGCCGCCTGGCTACCGATAGCAGAGAGAGAGTCTGGAACACAACTGAATAATTTCCAGTCAGACGGAGGTGGCGAGTACACCTCTCACCGCTTCAAGCAGTTCTTGGCGGAAAGGGGGATCAAGCAACTCCTCTCCCTTCCCTACGCACATCAGCAGCAAGGTGTTGCAGAACGACTGAACAGGACCCTGCAGAACAGCATGCGCAAACTATTACGTGGCATGCGGCTACCCAACCACCAGTGGCCAGCAGCAATGGACCACGCTGTCATGCTACACAACTTGTTGTCGTCATCGTCACTCCCGAACAACGCATCACCGCATCTGCTGTGGACAGGGAAGCAGGGCAGCACGAAAATGTTACGAGTTTTCGGGTGCATGGTACAGTACAGACCCCCAGAAGCACGAGCGGGAAGATTTTCGCAACGGGCACAGTGGGGACTACACCTCGGCATCGAGAAAAATTACAACGCATGGAAAATCTTCGACGTCCACACAAAGGAAACAGTAGCAGCACGTGACGTGATCTTCTACGAAAGACTCACCCTTCAGACGTACCTCGCCAACTTGCACGAGAATCGGGACCTCACCAGTGGTTTTCGTGGTGACCGAGCCTTCGCGTCAGCAGCGGACGAAGCAGACTGGGATGAACAGAACGTCGACAACGCCTCAGAAGAGGCCGGACCTCTCCCATACTGCTCCGTCGACGTGCCCATGGATGAGGATAATCCTCGCGACAGTAACAACGCCGAAATCTTCTACCGTTTCGCCGACGATGGTTACGTAACACCTGTGACAGTCAACACCAACGAAGCAGAAAGGGTAGGGCCAAATTTCATGCCCGACCCAGAAACGGGAGACGAAGCAGCTTATCCCGAGGATCCAGAACTCCCTCGATACTCACAGACTGGGCTGCAAATCCTCGGCCTCGTCACCGCAGTCCACGGGAACACACGCAGCTCGCTTCCTAAGGAGCCTGCAACGGTTCAGCAGGCTCTGGGGGGGGAACACAGGGAGAAATGGCGTGAAGCCATGGATAGAGAACTGAAGGCATTAGAGGAACGCAACACTTGGAAGGTTGTTCCCGTAAGCGTGGCACGGAACAAAACCATCCTTACCGGGAAATGGGTCTTCCGCATCAAGACGAAAGCAGACGGCACGATCGAAAAATTCAAAGCACGCTGGGTCGTACGTGGATTCGACCAAGAGCAAGGACGAGACTTCACCGAGACCTTTGCTCCAGTCAGCCGCCACACGTCACTCCGAATTCTCCTCGCCATTGCCGCCATGAAGAAGAAGAAGTTACGGCAGATCGACGTCGCGAATGCCTTCCTCTACGCACCTGTGGATGCAGAAATCTACGTCGAGCTCCCGCACGGTTCCCACGGCGAACCCAACCGAATCTGTCAACTACTTAAGTCGCTCTACGGGATCAAGCAGGCACCGCGACTGTGGCAGCAGTACCTGCACGCCCGTCTCATCCGCATCGGCTTTAGTCAACTACCTCACGACCAAGGCATGTACCGCCTCACTAAGGGAAGCGACTACGTTCTCCTGATCGTCTACGTGGACGATCTCCTCTACATTGGGTCAACCGACGGCATCGCCACGTGGTTCGAAGGAGAGCTCCAGAAAGACCTCACGCTCACGGTCTCCTCCACCGTTACACAGTACCTCGGGCTCAACATCCGCGAAGAAGAAAACGCCATCTATCTAAGCGCCGAGAAATACGCCGACACCATCGCGAAACGCTTCAGCCTCACACCAAGCGTCATCTCCACGCCCTACCGCTACACATCAGGAACCGAGAAGGAACGAACTACTCTACTCAAGCCCGCCGGCATACGCGACTATCAGAAGAAGCTCGGATGCCTGCTATTCGCCGCCGTCACCTGCCGTCCTGACTTATCCTACTCCGCAAGTCAGCTCGCCACCTATCTCAAGAAGCCTGAAGCTGAACACCTGGCGGAACTTGATCGCGCTCTCCACTACTTCGTCAGCACCGCGACGATCGGGCTAACCTACCACAAGAGCGCAGCTACACCGACTAAGCTAATCGGCTACGTCGACGCCGATCACGCCGGCGACACCGACAACAGGCGCTCACGCACCGGCTATGTCCACCGCCTTGAGCCTATCGGTCCTATCTCCTGGCAGTCGAGCAAGCAGGAGTTAATCGCACTATCTTCAGCAGAAGCAGAATATATTGCACTCTGCTCAGCCACCAAGGAGGGACTTTACCTTCGCGAACTACTGGAAGAAGCGAAGCTAGCCGAGTTACCCAGCTTCACCGTGTTCTGCGACAACCAGTCAGCAATTCGCATCGCCAACAAAAACGGCTTCGCAAACAGGACGAAACACATCGCCCTGCGCTATTTCTTCGTGAAGGACGAGATAGGAAAAGGGAAACTCGATCTGTCATACTGTCCAACATCCGAGATGGCAGCCGATTACTTGACCAAGAAACTCGGCAAGCAGAAGTTCGAATACTGCATGATGCTGACTGGACAAGGCCACGTCACCAGCAGTAACACTCCAGAAGCGAAGGGGAGTGTTGGAAACAATAAGTCCTAAGTGCGCTTCTGTCGTATCAAAATCCAAGGTACCAAGCGAAGCAGTCCCAATCGAAGCATCGAGTCAACCTCGGAGGTTAGGGTAACCGCCTGGAGGTTACGAGAAAGCCAAAGGTCGCTGACCTTTGACTCGACAATTACAGCGCGACAGTTAAGGACACACAACTGACTCGTTACAGAGCAGTTGCCCGAGTCGCGCTATATCGAACCGCAACAGCAATACAGTTATCTATCTATTCCCTGTACTCTTATATAAATCCTTGTATTTGCTTGTTTAATTCAATCAACTTTGCTCTCACACACCAGTGCAAGGTCGGTTCAAATTCTTCACTAAACGCTTCCGCTATTACAACTACTTCACCTAGAGTTATCCCTTGCAAAGATCCTAAGGGGCTATCTCAGCCCAACAAAGTGAAGGTTGACAAACGCCATATGGTGTAGTAAATGTGGATATGATTTGTTGAAGGATCATCGATCCGTTCTACCCACAAAGCTTTTGCATGTGATCAGGCTTACCGGTATTCCTACGGTACTGGTATTACGGAAGCCTGTTGAAGTGCTGAACTGTAGTTGACCAAAGAACAGTGAAGAAAGATGCAGGACATTGTGAGTAGTTACGAAGACGCTTTAATGAAATCCAGTAAAGGGTACAGAATCAACTTTCCATACAGCACATACAGACAGCTCTACTACAGACATTCTCAAACAAGAAGCAGAAGCAAAGGTTGGCAGGCAGGCAGGTACAAACATTTTACAGAGGGTCTATACTGCATCAATGCATTCCCATTGAGCGGAGAGAAGAAGGGTGTCCATCAAGTGAGAGGGGAACGGGTTTGCATTGACTGGAGGGGTGAAGCCATCCAAGTTAAAGCATGTGCCGCAGATGACACAATGTGTGCATGGCAGGCGTGTGCTATGCTGTGCTGCTACCGTATCATTGCCTCCCTACTCCGTGCACCATGCGGAGCGGTAAGGCATAGGTAGCATGTCCCTGGTTAATGGTAACAAAGGGAGGGCAAAGAGGATAAAATGACTAAGAAAGCAATGTTTACTGATGCAAGGTGCAGAAAGGGAAGTGGAACAGCTGTGCATGTGCGAGGGTGGGAAAGAACAAATGACTCACAGAGCATATCCTGCAGCAAAAGGGTCACTAGATTCTGACTTGTCCTGATAATCCCTGTCGTCTTCACAGTTATCCGTCGAGTAGAGATTGAAGGAGGGGCACCTCGGAGCATCATCAATATTGTCAACAATATACGCTGCGGTGAATCTCCCTGCTACTGCATCCGGGTATTGAGTGCAGCCGTTCAGGTTGAGGCGGAAGGTGTATGGCCGAGAGGAGTTGTCATCCGCGTTTCGATTCACGATGAACGTGGCGCTGTATGCGGTAACGGTGGCAGGTTGGCCTGAGAAAGAGCGGCACAAGAAAGGAAGCATTGGGTGGAGGGGAGGGAGTGGGGCGAGAAGGGGAGCGGTTCGATTCACGATGAACGTGGCGCTGTATGCGGTAACGGTGGCAGGTTGGCCTGAGAAAGAGCGGCACAAGAAAGGAAGCATTGGGTGGAGGGGAGGGAGTGGGGCGAGAAGGGGAGCGGTTCGATTCACGATGAACGTGGCGCTGTATGCGGTAACGGTGGCAGGTTGGCCTGAGAAAGAGCGGCACAAGAAAGGAAGCATTGGGTGGAGGGGAGGGAGTGGGGCGAGAAGGGGAGCGGTTCGATTCACGATGAACGTGGCGCTGTACGCGCTAACGGTGGCGGGTTCACCTGCGTAAGAGCAGCACAAGAGAGGACTTGGTGTATTGTTTGTCTGCACGTTTCATGTGTTTCCACAATACCACAACTAACGAGCAGCCATAGCTGTTCAACCAAACTTAACAAAGCGAGAATGGTGAAGCAAACAGTGGGGCGAGTGGGGGAGAGGAGAGAGCGGGGCGAGAGGGGAGTGAGGGAGCGGGGCGAGAGGGGAATTAGAGAGTGGGGCGAGAGGGGAACTAGGGAGTGGGGCGAGGGGGAAGTGGGGCGAGGGGGAAGTGCAGAGAGGAGAGAGTGGAGAGTAGATGGAGGCATGCATCGAAGCTCATCACCCTCAGCACAGCCAGTCCGGGTCATGCCATAGCCATTTTGTTGCAGGTAATGAGCATTCTAAGAACTCATGCGTCGATTCACACCAACTCACCCTCAACACACTCAGTCGGGGTCATGCCATAGCCGTCAGGGCAAGAGCAGTAAGGCGAGTGAGGAGAGGAGAGCAGGGTGAGAGGGCGAGTGGGAAGAGAGAGGAGACCCACCCTCAACACACTCAGTCGGGGTCATCCCATAGCCGTCACGGCATGAACAGTGAGGCAGCAGCACGACCAATGACTTATAACCACAGAATCTAGCTTGTGTCAATGGCACTCACCCTCAACACACTCGGTCGGAGTCATCCCATAGCCTTCAGGGCATGAGCAGTAAGGCACCTGCACCAAACCGTTGTGGGTTGCAGGCACGGTCTTGCAGGTGGCTCCAGTAGGGCAGGCGCCACAGGGTGAGTCTGAGGGGTGGGGTGGGGTGGGCGTGGGTGCAGTGCGGCAATTGAGGGCACGAGCAGTAAGGCACCTGCACCAAACCGTTATTAGTTGCAGGTACTGTCTTGCAGGTGGCTCCAGTGGGGCAGGCGCCACAGGGTGAGTCTGTGGGGTGGGGTGGGGTGGGAATGGGTGCAGTGCGGTATGATTTGTAAGGCGCATCAGAGAGCAGTAAGGCACCCGCCTGCACCCAGTCGTTGTTAGTCGCAGGCACGGTCTTGCAGGAGGCTCCAGTATGGCAGGCGCCACAGGGTGAGTCTGCGGGGTGGGGATGGGTTCAGTGTGGTTCGTGAGTGCACTGTTAGTGGGGAGTAAGGCACCAGAGGTGTGGCGTCACAGGGTGAGTCTGGGGAAGGCAGGAAGCGAGGGAAACACAAGGGAGGGGGAGAAGCAAGAGAGAGGGAGAAGCAAGGCAGATGTGGAAGCAAGTTAGAGGGGAAACGCACGCTCACTCACTCACCCCACTGGCAGTAGCGCTCGCCTGTCTCATCCACCACGCATTTGCCACCCGGCTCACAGCCCAAGGCGTCACAGGGAGCACCAACGCACAAGACAGACGCTAAGGAAGCCACTTTTGTCGCGCCTGAAAACTCACCCCACTGGCAGTAGCGCTCGCCTGTCTCATCCACCACGCATTTGCCACCTGGCTCACAGCCCAACACGTCACAGGGAGCATCGATGCAAAGAACAGAGGTCACGGACGCCCACTTGCGGAGGTTCTTCTTGTTGCTGGGGAACCTGCAGGGCGTGGCGTGGCAAGAGGAAGCACAAGAGATGACTTTTGAGGCGCGTGACAGGGATGGCAAGGAGCGTTGGTGCAGAGAGGACCGAAGCCACGGACGCCCGTTTGCGGAGGTTCTTCTTGGTGCTTGGGAACCTGCCGGGAATGGGAAGTGTGACTGGATGAAACACAAAAGGTGATATCTAAGGCGCCTCAAAAGTGCATCGGTGCAGAGAACAGGGGGAACGGACGCCCACTTGCGAGAGTTCTTCTTGGTGGTTGGGAACCTGCAGGGCGTGGCAAGTGGAAGCACAGGAGACAGCTTTTGAGGCGCCTCACAGGCAGCATCGGTGCATGCTGCATCAGAGAGGGCAGATGCAGAGAGGGCAGATGCAGAGAGGGCAGATGCACCAGTCACTCACCTGGCTGCAGTAGCCCCTGGGTTGACCATCCTATCAAGCTCCGTGCCCTGGCAGCCGTCCTTCCCAAACACCACCCAACACTCACACACCCACCGCCACTCACTCGGCCCACCCGCCACTTACTTAGCTGCAGCAGCCCCCGGGTTGACCATCCTATCAAGCGCGGCGCCCTGACAGCCGTCCTTCCCAAAGAACTTGACCTGCGAGCACGCGAAACCTGCTGCCGCGCTGCTCGAACCTGCGCCGCCCGAGCCTCCGCGGCCGTTCCACCACACCTGCGCGCCCTTCCCCCGCGCCTTCTTCGGCACGCTCACGCAGCGCTGGCTGCCGAAGCTCAGCCGAGCCTTGCCGACAGCCACGGTTGTGGCGAACTGCAGTTCCGAACCCAGATTCAGGATGCTGCGAGCGGGGCTGGGATTGCTATCAAAGAGGCTGCCGCCACCGTCAGCGAGGTTGCCGCCGCCAGTGCCGTCTGGGGTGCCGAAGCTGTCAACGGGGGTGCCGGTGCGGTCAACGGGGGTGCCGGAAGTGGGGGTATCCAGCAGAACCCTCGCAGTGACCTTGTTGAGTGCTGATCCCCCCATGGAGTCACCTTCTGGAACCTTCTCTTGTCCAGATGCATGCAAGTCCTTCAGCATGCTACGGTGGGTCATGCGGTGAGTGATGCTTGTCACTGTGTCGTCCCCATACGCTGCTTTCATCAAGTGAGCTGCTGCAGAGGACAAGGGAGAGGGTGTGCGGAGAAGAGAGGAGAGGAGGTATGAGAGGGCAGAGAGGAGGTATGGGAGGGCAGAGAGGAGGTATGGGAGGGCAGAGAGGAGGTATGGGAGGGCAGAGAGGAGGTATGAGAGCGGTATGTCAAGGAGAAGAAAATGAGGGAGAAGGCAATGAGGGAGAAGGCAACGAGAGAGAAGGCAATGAGAGAGAAGGCAATGAGAGAGAAGGCAATGAGAGAGAAGGCAATGAGAGAGAAGCGGACTGACCGCAGATGAGGGCAAGGGCGAGCAGCAGGAGTCCGGCAGGAGAGGCGCGCATCGTCCTCATGATTGTGGGGGTCCCGCGAGAGAGGCGGCGGAAGAGGCGACGGAAGAGGCGGCGGAAGAGGCGGCGGAAGAGGCCGCGGAAGAGGAGCCAAATTAGTTGTTGATAAGTAAGTTGCTGTTCCGTATCACACGCTCCTTCTTTTGGAACTTGAAAATGAAGGACAGCCTGTCCACTGAGTGGAACGATGGCCGAGTATTACTGCTTGAAGCACAGAAGCGGAAGGAGAGTCGTGGAATGGCAGGGATGGACGAAAGGCGCGCTTGCTTTGGGATTCGACTGAGCTGCACCGGTGATATACGGTGCGAGCTACGAGCGTGAGTCGAGCATGGCAGCCGCAGCGCCATCGCACTACGATGAGTCATCGTCGGCGCCGTATTGTCGCAGTGAATTATATGAAGCGGATTTGGTGAGTTTTGAGACGTCTCAAAACTCGAAGCGCCATCGCGCTACGATGAGTCATCGTCGGTGTCGATAGTATCGTGGTGAATTATATGAACGGGATATGGTAAGCTGTGACGACGATGGCTCTGGTATCACTTGGGAACGCGATGCGTGCGACGGCTTGCTTTGGCGGGAGGCCGTCCCATACGTCGGGTACGCGTTGCCTGACACAAGTGAATCGCAGGGAGGAAGTACAGTAATGCGTCTAGAATGCGACTGCATTATATGAACGACCAAAATGCGACTTCGTCGCAGAAAGAACCGAAGACGGCTGCCCGTCTTATCTGCCGGATAGCCGGCTGTATGAGAGACGCGTTCCAATGGAACTTCGTGAATCTAGCCCGCCACGTCAGACTTTTGTTGTGATCCATCTGGAGGCGCATTACAAAACAACATCGTGTATTACTTGAACTTGCGCACTACCAGGTAATGGCCTCGAGCTCTCCGCCATGGCTGCTCAACGCATACTGGAACCCGACATTTCGGGACGCCGCCTTATCAAGTGACTATGTTACTGTTACCAATGGCATCGCCTTCGTCCCAGCTTTCGGAAGATACATTTCTAATGTCCATACAGCGGACATTGTTTCTTTTGTTAAAGCCGCGGTCTACATACTAAAAGGGTTTTTTTGGGGCTCATCTAACTGCACACCCTTTGGCGCACGCTGGTTCGAGAGCGAAGTGAGCTGCCAAACACCTCAGCGGAATTCGGTCGACGGAGCCGAATTGCCAGTGTCGTCGAGGGGGGTCGTCGAAGCCTGGGCTGACGGGGCGGAGCACTGACGCGCGTGCGGGCCCGCCAGCCTGGCCCAGGGCTGGGCCGAGCGCACGACCGCCGCCCCGCGGCCCCGCCCCGAATGTGAACAGCGGCCCACGTTACCGGGTGGGGTCGGCGAACTGGCGACACCTCGCGCGTGGGAAAATTACCCTCGCGCGAAGGCAGCCCACACGCGCCACCTGCCCGCGAGGTCCTACTAACCCATCGCGGCCTGCCCGGACGGGCAGGCGAGGGCCGGGCGAAAAGTCGGGGCCCCCTCGGGACGCTCGACAATTTCGCGACCCGTTGCGGCGACGCCACGTGTTCGCTCGTGGTTTCGCATCGGGCGCATGCGATATTTTGTCATTGCGAGCGAAAAAAAAAAGGCCGCGACGCGGACAACGAGGTTCGTTACCCACTACGAAGTCGACACGTGTTGTGCGAATGCACGCTCATCGCGCACGCGATATTGCGTCCCCTCGCCGACCTGGGACAATGGACGCGAGGTCGACGCCCTGCCGAAGCGGAGTCGGACCACCTGTTCCACTTGCGCATGCGCCCTCAGAGCCCTGCCGAGCCAGGCCCCACACCCTTGGGCGACGCTGAACGGGGATGCGGTGGGTCACCGTCTCCTTTTCTTTGTGGATGGTGGCCTCGCTCCCCATTTTCCGCATCTCGTTTCGCTCCTCCTTTTCCTTTTTTCCTCCTTTCGTTGCTCTGTGCGGCTATCGTGATATCGCTTCCCCTTAGTCGGTATGGACCCTAGCCCTGACCCCGATAACTCGGCACCGACTTCGGCTGACTTCCCTCTTCGTCACCAAATGGGTCCTGGTCTCAGCTTCACTTTAGAGTGGGAAGACTTCTTAGTTCTTCGCAACCACAAGATAGAGTTCAACGACGGATGTTTGGATTTCGGCATCAGGTACGACTCGAGTAGTCGGCGCCGACTTAACTGGGTTGGGTGGAGTGGGAAGACTTCTTAGTTCTTCGCAACCACAAGATAGAGTTCAACGACGGATGTTTGGATTTCGGCATCAGGTACGACTCGAGTAGTCGGCGCCGACTTAACTAGGTTGGGTGTCGACGCAGTGGCCTTCTGATTTACGTCGACGTGCGCGGTATTAGGAATAGACCCCCTCCAGGAACGCCGGCCACCTTAGGAATCGTCGACCACACGTAGTCGCCCTCTGTACTTTTCGGCGTTTGCTCAACCGCCCTTGTATGAACCTCCTTGCCCAATCGTGCCGTCAGGTTCGCGTGGTCCCGACTTGGGATCGAGAACCAGCGTTTGTGGGTTCTCGACGTCGGCACGCTTCGATCGGCCATGCGGCTGGCCGACCATTCATGCTTTGCTGCGGTTTTCGACGCCGACATCGCCGCTATCCCGTTAAGAACGATGTGAGCTGTTTCACCTTTGATCAGTTGTCGTTGTTTAGTGTCGCGACATCGCGTGGTGATGTGATCGACGTCGTCGTAAATTGCTGTGAAAAAGTAGGTGTGGGGCCTAGGCTTAGTAGCCTAGGCCCACACTAGGAGGTAGGTGAGTTCGAGTGGGTTAGGTGAGTATCGAGAAATTTGGAAGGGAAGTGAAGTGACTAACAAGAGTTGGAATACAAGTACATTGCCCTAAATTGGGTTGTACTCATTACAGAGTACCCCACTGCAGGCTAGACAGCAAATATATTCTGACACACCCCCATAGCCAAAGTGGGGTGAAATCAGCAGAGCAGGCAAAGCAGTACAAGCTCAGGGTGGATCACAATGTCACCACACATTCTGAGCACACGTTCAAGAAGCAATAGTTAAAGTGCACAATTATCAGCAAAGCTAGTGGTGGTCACAACGGGCAAGTGAGGAGGAGGAGGGAGAGTGAGAGGAGAGGAGATGGGAGGCGACTGCTGAAGCTGCAGACACACGGGCAACAGGAGCGGCTGGCACAGTGGCTACCGGGACAGCGCCCCGGACTACTGGAGTAACTGGCTCGGCGGCTACGAAGAGCGGCAGGAGCAACGGACCCACGGGCGACAGGCGCAGCAGGCTCACTGGGCTACCAGGACAGCGCCCCGGACTACAGGTGCTGCGGACTACAAGACGGCAGCCTCCGCTCAACCTCCCACAAACAGTCCCACCCCCCTGACACACACCCGCTGCTACACCCCTAGCTCCACTCCCACGCACCCCCCTTAAACCCTAAACCCCAGTCTCCCACACAACCACCCCCCTCAGCGACAGCTGCAGCAGTGGGAGACGACGGAGGAGGAGAAGGAAGGGGCGACACAAACGGAGCACCCCCACACCCGCAAACGGGGGGGGGAGGGGGGGGGGGGGGGGGAACAGTGCGCACGAGGGCGCAGACAGTAGCAGAGCGCACGGGGGCGCGAGCACGAGGCACGGGCAGCAACAGGCACGGGCAGCACAGGCACGGGCAGCACAGGCACGAGCAGCACAGGCACGGGCAGCAACAGGCACAGGCAGCACAGGCACGGGCAGCACAGGCACGGGCAGCACAGGCACGGGCAGCACAGGCACGGGCAGCAACAGGCACGGGCAGCACAGGCACGGGCAGCACAGGCACGGGCAGCACAGGCACGGGCAGCAACAGGCACGGGCAGCACAGGCACGGGCAGCACAGGCACGGGCAGCACAGGCACGGGCAGCACAGGCACGGGCAGCACAGGCACGGGCAGCAACAGGCACGGGCAGCACAGGCACGGGCAGCACAGGCACGGGCAGCACAGGCACGGGCAGCACAGGCACGGGCAGCAACAGGCACGGGCGGCACATGCACGGGCAGCAACAGGCACGGGCAGCACAGGCACGGGCAGCACAGGCACGGGCAGCAACAGGCAAAGGCAGCACAGGCACGGGCAGCACAGGCACGGGCAGCACAGGCACGGGCAGCACAGGCACGGGCAGCAACAGGCACGGGCAGCACAGGCACGGGCAGCACAGGCACGGGCAGCACAGGCACGGGCAGCAACAGGCACGGGCAGCACAGGCACGGGCAGCACAGGCACGGGCAGCACAGGCATGGGCAGCACAGGCACGGGCAGCAACAGGCACGGGCAGCACAGGCACGGGCAGCACAGGCACGGGCAGCACAGGCACGGGCAGCACAGGCACGGGCAGCAACAGGCACGGGCAGCACAGGCACGGGCAGCATAGGCACGGGCAGCAACAGGCACAGGCAGCACAGGCACGGGCAGCACAGGCACGGGCAGCACAGGCACGGGCAGCACAGGCACGGGCAGTACAGGCACGGGCAGCACAGGCACGGGCAACACAGGCACGGGCAGCAACAGGCACGGGCAGCACAGGCACGGGCAGCACAGGCACGGGCAGCACAGGCACGGGCAGCAACAGGCACGGGCAGCACAGGCACGGGCAGCACAGGCACGGGCAGCACAGGCACGGGCAGCAACAGGCACGGGCAGCACAGGCACGGGCAGCACAGGCACGGGCAGCAACAGGCACAGGCAGCACAGGCACGGGCAGCACAGGCACGGGCAGCACAGGCACGGGCAGCAACAGGCACGGGCAGCACAGGCACGGGCAGCAACAGGCACGGGCAGCACAGGCACGGGCAGCACAGGCACGGGCAGCAACAGGCACAGGCAGCACAGGCACGGGCAGCACAGGCACGGGCAGCACAGGCACGGGCAGCAACAGGCACGGGCAGCACAGGCACGGGCAGCAACAGGCATGGGCAGCACAGGCACGGGCAGCACAGGCACGGGCGGCAACAGGCACGGGCAGCACAAGGCGTACCGGGTCCAGGGGCGGCTTCTGGGGTCCAGGGGCGGCACCTGCAGCTGGGCGGCGGTAGCTGCTGCGGCAGAGCGGCGGCGGCTGCTGCTGCTGATAGAGCGGCGGCTGCTGCTGCTGGGTCGGTGGCGGCAGCTGCTGCAGGTCTGGCGGCTGCTGCTGCTGCAGACTCTGGCGGCGGCTGCTGCTGTAGACTCTGGCGGCGGCTGCTGCTGCAGGCTCTGGCGGCGGCTGCTGCTGCAGGCTCTGGCGGCGGCTGCTGCTGCAGACCCTGGCGGCGGCTGCTGCTGAAGACCCTGGCGGCGGCTGCTGCTGCAGGCTCTGGCGGCGGCTGCTGCTGCACACCCTGGCGGCGGCTGCTGCTGCAGGCCTGGCGGCGGCTGCTGCTGCTGGGTGGTGGCGGCCGCTGCTGTAGGCTCTGGCGGCGGTTGCTGCTGGCTCTGACGGCGCCCCGCGGATCCTGCACGGACGCCGCGACGAGCAGGGGCGACGCCCCGCGGGTCCCGCACGGACGTCGCGACAAGTAGGGCGGCGCCGCGCGGGTCCCGCACGGACGTCGCGACGAGCAGGGGCGACGCCCCGCGGGTCCCGCACGGACGTCGCGACGAGCAGGGTGACGCCGCGCGGGTCCCGCACGGGCGTCGCGACGAGCAGCGGGGAGGGCAGCGCGCAGGCCCCCCGAGGGCGCTTCGAAGGACGGGAAAACCGCCGCGCGCCCTGAGCGCACGGCGGGATGAAAAACTCCGAAATCCTAAAAAAAAATTCGCGGAAGAAGGACTGCAGCGGAAGCATAGGGGCCCACAGGCCAAGGTAGAACGGGCTCTGATAACATGTGAAAAAGTAGGTGTGGGGCCTAGGCTTAGTAGCCTAGGCCCACACTAGGAGGTAGGTGAGTTCGAGTGGGTTAGGTGAGTATCGAGAAATTTGGAAGGGAAGTGAAGTGACTAACAAGAGTTGGAATACAAGTACATTGCCCTAAATTGGGTTGTACTCATTACAGAGTACCCCACTGCAGGCTAGACAGCAAATATATTCTGACAATTGCATGTGCAGCCTCGGTGCGCTTCCAGGAACGCACTGCAGCGTCATTGCCATCCTATACCCTGGAGATCTGTTGAAGGCTGAGGGACAGGTGTGCAGGATCTCAATCCGGCACATCGACCCGCAGACCGGTAAAGGGTATCACCGCGACGAGGCCGCCCGCGTGCTAAAGTAAGTGCTGAATTGTCGTCGATGACCCGCTTGTTAGTCGGCGTCACAGGGTATCACACGCTGACCGCCTCCCCCCACCGCGGTGCTTCAGGTTCTTCCGCACGGCTGTCCTGGCCGAGCTGGGGCATCCCGGTAGGATGTGGGACTGGGCGCCGCCATCACAAGCAGTGGTGGAGGTCAGGCTGGCCGACTGCGACCACCCTATCCGCGATGTGAGTTGCACGTTCAAGTCGCAAGGGGGGGGTGCCCGTTTCTGAACGCTCCGCTCATCATGTTCCGTGCTTGTATGCAGAAAGTGCCGGGCACAGTGTCGGACGGGCATGTCGGTGCCGGCGTGCTTTCCGCGACGTCGTTCGGGTGGGTAGCAAAACAGATCGACCATCTGACAGGCGAGAAGGGTCGTCGTGGGGTGAGCATCGAGAGCATCGGGATGCAGGGGCTGAAGGCTTTGCGCGACAGCATGGTTGAGTACGTCGGCAAGGTCATTGCCGTAAAACGCACCGCGACGCCGACTTCTCAAGCCGCCGGACCCGCCGACAATGCCATAGATGACGACGTCGCGGAAGGACAGAAGGCGCCCCAAGGTGCAGTTGCCGCCCAGCATCATGGGAACGCGAGGGTGCATGGGGAAGGTGGAAACGGTGGAGGAGGCGACGCAGAGGCAGGTGCAGGAAGGTCGGAAACGGAGAAGTCGTCGTCGTCGTCGTCGGAGTCGGAGTCGGAGTCGGAGTCGGAGGAGGAAGACGAGGCGGTGAAGCGTAAGGACGAGGAGGAGTATGAGGAGGAGGAGGAGGAGAATAAGGATGAGAATGGTGAGAAGTGGGAGGGAGGGAAGGATGAGGAGGGGGGGGATGAAGAGGTGGAGTTCGTGGTGGAGTATGTAGAGGGTACGGTTGAGGCGGTAGCGGCAGAAGAGGCGGTGGGGTCGGCAGATCAGGGGAATGAGGAAGAGAAGGATGACGGCGCGGGAAATGCTACGAGGTCGGCAGATGTGGGGAAGGAGAAGGGCGAGGTCGGCGTGGAGGCACCTGGAAATGGCCAGGATGAGGCGGCCTGCGAAGGAGGTGGGAAGGTGTCGGTCGACGCCGGCGAAGGGCCGAACAACACGGGCGAGCAGGAGGCCGGGGAAGCACCTGGTCGGCAGGGCCCAGAACTGGACGACGTCGAGGTTCTGCGACGGGAAAACTGGTTGTTGCGGGCGGAGAACGCTCGGCTGGCGTCGTTGCTCGATGCGGAGCGGTCCCGGCTGGACAGTTTTTTTGTTGGGGTCAGTCGACTCGTCGACCACGTTAAAGGGTTGGCCGAGCAGGTCGACGACACCGACAAGTATGCCGCGGAACAGCTGCGAAACGCGACGGAGGCCATGTCGAAGACCATCACGGGCAACATCTCCGGCAGCTTTGACGAAGCGTGGAAGTCGATGAAGACTTTCGCGGAACATGCGACGGAGTGGTTGGAGGACTTCGACAATCCGGAGGGTCGTGTCGCGTATGCACGAGCGTTAGCGGTCTCCTCCTTGGCCGAACACGTGGATTCGGTGGTGGGCGATGCGAAGAAGGGGTTGGAAGAGTACATCTCGAACCACCTTGCCTCCGCGCAGGTCAACATCGCCACCGTTTTGACCGCCAGGCTCGCCGTGCCGCCGCCGCCACCGCCTCATCCCACGCCGCCCGCCATCCCAGAAGAGATTTTGAAGTCGTTCAAGGCCGACATCCTGAAGGCGCTGACGGAGGCCACCCAGCAGTCTTTCGTTGCTTCCGGGATGAAGATCATGACAGAGATGATCGGCACTGTGGCGCCTGGTCGACGTGGGTCGTCGCCTTCGGCCAATGACGCCGATAACGCGCAAAGAAAAACGGCCGAGAAGCAGGGCCATAAGAGGACCGGCGACGGAGACGACAAGGGGAGCTCGAAGCGGAGCAAGGGAGCGTACGGTAGTTTTGGGTCGAAGCCTGCGCAAAAAAGCGTGGTCGACCAGCTGAAGACGAAGGCGGGGTGGAAGGTGGTAAGGACGTCGCACAGCAAGGGAGGCGGAAGCGGGGGAGCAGAGGGTGGCCCTGCCGACGGGGTTGCCGCTAACCTAGCTGCTCCGACTGGCCCGCCTTTGGTCGCCGAGCAGACCCATCCTCAGGCGAGCAGTGGGAAAGGCGTTACCGACAAGGAGGTGCCAACTGCTCAGGCGGCGAATGATGGTGACTCCGGAACCACCAAGGGACCACCCGTCGCGGCGGCGGCCAAGCCTGCTTCTGCTACGGTTGCCGGCACCACCAAGTCGAGTCCCCGTAACCCCCTTGCGGCTACCAGCGCGCCTGCCGGCCAGTCAGGTGCGAACAAAGATGGCGAGGCTGCTCCAGCTCCAGCAGCCCCGACTGCCGCCAAGGTTGTCGCGAAGGTTGCTTCGGCTAAGGGTGATGCCATGGCATCAGCTAAGGCCCCCCCCGGTGGTACCGCGCTCAGAGAGATGCTCCGCCGCATGGAGGCACATAGCAGGGACGTGCAGCAGCATCCCGTGGTCGACGCCGGCCTTCCTGGAACAGCACGCCGCTCCGTCACTACGCAGGTTGCTGGCAAGTCGTCCGGTGCCCCACCTGCCGCGCCTCCGGTGGCCGCCCCACCGCCTGCGGACCCCAAGTCCGATTTTCTTCGCGCCCATTTAGGCGCACGCAAAGCAACTGCTCCGTCAGTGACCCTGCCGGAACTCGGCAAAAGCGCGACGCCGATGTCGGTAAACGCGACCGCACCCACACCAGGTGCATCTGTGGTCGATGTGGCGGCGGAGAAGGGAGTGAGTGCAGCGCTCGCCACCGGCGGCCGCGCAGACAAGCATGCCGACCTCGCTGTCGTCATGGCCCATTTTGAGGCAGCAAAGCGCCCCGAGCACGCCCCTGTTATGGCCATCATGGACACGGCGCATGTGGTGCCGTCGGCGACCCACGGAGGGGGTTCGACGGAGCAGACGGCCGCAACGGCTGCTGTCGCCGAGATAAATGCTGGACGGAAGGAAAAGGACGACAACGGGAAAGGGAAGGCGGTCTCTCAGAGGAGCACGCGGGCGATGACTGCGGGGAAGTTGACGTTGGAAGAGAAAGGAAAGAAGGCGGAAGGGGAGAAGGACAAGACGGGCGGCAAGGGTAAGCCGGCGAAGAAGAAGGAGAAGGCGGAGGAGGAGGACGAGGAGGGCGGCGAGGGAGATAAAGAGCATGGACGCAGGGGTCATGGCATCCGCCGAGACAAGGCTGGCGACGGGCAAGGGTGGGTGGGCGAAATTAAGGTACACGGACAGAATCGGTACATCGGCAAGTCGAGGGAGAAGATGGAGCTGGCCTACGAGCACGCGATTGCGCTCGTCGTCTACGACGGCTACGTGAGCAAGGTGCTCATGAAGGAGCTCACCGTCTTGAACCCGGGGGAGTTGGATAAATGGAAGGAGGTGTGGGCGGAGGTGAAGTTGTTGCCCACTGGGATGTGGACGGTGATGTGGGCCAGAGGCTTGTGCCATCCGAGAGCAAGGTAAGACGGATACTGACGTGCCGAGTTCTGTCGACCAAGTTGGTGTCAAAACGCTGAAGTCCTGTCGTTTTAATGTGTTTGCGCGGCAGGTTCCACGATATACTTGGCAGGTACCGTGGGTACGCGAGTTCGGGTGTTGCGCTTCATGACGTGCTCTGGCCGGCGATCTGGTTCCCCATCATCGAGGACACGGAGGAAGGCAAGGAAGAGACGAACGCTCTCATGTCGGCGATGGTAAATCGCGTGTCGATGTGCGCGGCGTATGGGAAGGTCGCGGCGAGCGCGGCGTTTGGGAAGGTCGATGCGAGCGTGGAGGGGAAGGCGGACGAGAAGATGGAGATGGGGGCCCAGGCGTTAGCGGCATCGGCATGCGCCATCTGGTGCTTCTTGGAGACGGGGGCGTCGATGCTCGGTGCTGTGGGCGAAGGGAAGGCGGCGGCGATGGTGGCAGGTGCGGGGGAGGCGAGGGCCAAGGACTTCAAGGAGGTGATGCACGCGGTGATCGACATAGCACGCAGCAGGCAGGCTCCCGCTGGGGAGGTTGCACATAACGTCGCGCCATCGCTGCAGAGCCAGGCAGTTGCCAGGGCCTTCGCGAAGGGAGTTGAGGAAGTCGAGGCCGACATGATCGCAAGAGCGACGGTCGAGACCTTGGCGTTCTGGGGAATGTGCCCCGTCGCCGGGCCCAAGCTCAAAGCGCAGGGCATCGATGTGCCGTGTGACGCGAGGATGGAGTACGATATGGATCACAGGGGGAGGAAGGGGGAGAAGGTCAAGCAGAGCAAGGGCAGCAGCAAGAGGAAGAAGAGCAAGCAGGGCATGGGTAGTACGGATGCGTAGTTGGCGGGCTGCGGTGTGCAGGGCACTATTGTATGGTTGGCGCCGATGGCCACGTTATTCTAATGACTTTTGTATCGTAGGGCACGAATCTTTTTCCGTTTTTTAGTAAATCACTGTCCACATTGAAACTTGCTAGCCGACTTTGAACGATGCGCCTTGTCGGCGCATGTGTCGACATCAAAAGGAACATCCTACTCGGCGAGCAGCGATGATAGACGGGGTAGACACATGCTATTCCGCGACGAGATATGTCCGCGAATATGTCGACGCCCTATCGACATGCAATCGTGCGAGACGTCGACATGAATAAGGCACAATGAATTGCAAACACATGGTGGCGACTATGTCGGAGTCCGACATATCTGGTTCGGATGTATGTGTTGGATCATGTATGTTCGTGTTGCATCACCATCAACAAGTACAATGGGAACACATATGTTGCTAAATTAGGGCATCAACCTACGCTAACACATATGCACCGAGGATGTTCATGCCGACTTCTTGCGCTTTGACGGAGGACGCTGCGCAGGTGCGGTCTGCTTGGCCAAGTCGGCCTCGGTCTTCGGCATCTGCTCCTCCCAGGTGTCTGGAAACAGGCGGTCGACCCACGTCGTCGGCTTCAGCTCCAGCGCCACCAGCGCACAGGCGAGGCGTAGCTTCGAGACCACCTTGGGGCCAAGCCCCTTGACGCCCATGCCAGGCTCCTTGGACATCGTCGGTGCCGTCTCCGGGTTGAGCACCGTGAGGGCATCGCAGAAGGTCCCAATGCCCGGTGCCG